TTTGGAAACCCTATGTGTTATTTGTGCCCTCCATTATGTTTTAATTAATCCTACATCCCTCTCCAAATCCTGGAATGTTTGTGTACTCTCTTCCGTTTCTTCGGTTCGCTTCCGTTTCCGTTTTCCGTTGTGTTTTTTAGTCAGTGCATCCGAAGATGAAGAGCGCTTGGTGCGTGACCTCTTTCGAGGCTACAATAAACTCATACGACCCGTACAGAATATGACACAAAAAGTTGGAGTAAGATTTGGTTTGGCGTTCGTACAGCTAATCAATGTCGTAAGTGTTCTCAAAATCAAATTTGTCAAACAAAAACAACCTGAATAATAACAATAAGATTATGCTTATATAAAAAAAACAAAAATCATAACTAACATTCGTAGAGTGTAAATGTGTTTTCGAGTTCTGTTCCTAACAAATTCTTCAGTTTCGTTGCTGTCATTCATCGTCCATACACACACACACTCGTCCATCAACAGTCAGCAACACCCACACACACATGCACAGGCTGTTCCCTCGGCCACGCCCCCTCTCGCGGATATGATGGGGGCGGGAGGAGGGGCGCATCCAAAAAGTTTTCAGTTTCGGTTATGCTTTGTAAATAATTACGTACACGTTGTCTTGACTTTGTATGTTTGTAGTGAACTTGATGCTAGTAAATCAAATACAAAATACAAATACTAACCCTAAACAATTAAGATTAAACAAGCAAAACAAACTAACCAACTAACTAACTAACTAAAGTAAAGCCACATGCGAAATAATGTCTTAACTACCTTCCCACCCGCTCTCTCTCGATTTCTCGATTGTGTACGCCAAAAACTCGATTCGATTTCGATTCGTTTCGAATCTCAAATGCAAATCGTACCCGTACTCCGTACTTCGTACCGTTCTCTCACACCACCAAACCACCAACCAACCAACCAACCAACCAACTAACCAACCAACCAACCAACCACCAAACCACCACCATCTGATCACAATCAAAACCGAAAACAAACGAATTCCCGAAAAAAAAATCGAAAATCGAAAACCGATCAAGAATGAGAAAAATCAAATTATGAAATCAAACGTTTGGTTACGTTTGGTTTGGTACGACTACCAGCTGCAGTGGGATGAGGCCGACTACGGCGGCATCGGGGTGTTGCGTCTGCCCCCCGACAAGGTTTGGAAGCCGGACATTGTGCTCTTCAATAAGTGAGTAAATGGCCATTTTGTAGCTAACCCATCAACTCCAACTCTGTACACTAAAAATCAAGAACAAAAAACCGTAGGCGAAAGTCGGAGCTTTCCACGTTGATCTCCTATAAATGCCCGAAATTAATATTATACTTTTCCGCCGACAGTGCCGATGGCAACTACGAGGTGCGCTACAAGTCCAACGTGCTGATCTATCCCACTGGCGAGGTCCTGTGGGTTCCGCCGGCCATTTACCAGAGCTCCTGCACCATCGATGTGACCTACTTCCCCTTCGACCAGCAGACCTGCATCATGAAGTTCGGATCGTGGACTTTTAACGGGGATCAGGTCTCACTGGCCCTCTATAACAACAAGAACTTTGTGGATCTCTCGGATTACTGGAAGTCGGGCACCTGGGATATTATAGAAGTGCCCGCCTATCTGAACGTCTACGAGGGCGACAGCAACCATCCCACGGAAACGGACATCACATTCTACATCATCATCCGGCGCAAGACACTCTTCTACACTGTGAATTTGATTCTGCCCACAGTGCTGATTTCGTTCCTCTGCGTTCTGGTATTTTACCTGCCAGCCGAAGCCGGCGAGAAGGTAAGATAAAGATCGCCGACTGGTGATCATATCTGGCTTTTATAGGTTCACATCTGGTCATGGGTGGGGTCAAGTCAAGATTATAGAAAACATCTCAAAGATGTCAATAATATTTAACTAACCCTGCTTACGTTTGTCAAGCCACTTATTTAATTTTAATTAATGATCAAAACATCTTTCTAAACATTAATTAGCTGAACTTCAACATCTGGTTTTTAATTTGAATAATCAAAAAAAAAACAAGATTGATCAATTCCAATTCGTTACGCCTCTCTGTTTAAAACTTTGATTAACATGTTAAAAAAATGTTTTTAATTGAGTCATAATATTTTGTTCTTGGCTTACAGAATTTATTTTTCACTTAAAGTTTAAGTTTATTATTTATACTATTTAAGTTTTAATTTTTCACTTAATGCGATACTTTTTCCTTAGTGCTTGGTACCTTTTTGAGAGGAACCTTGGCTAGGTGGGGTCACGGCTATTACCTGATCGGTTAATAACGATATATATTCCCAGGTTACGCTCGGAATTAGCATTTTGCTGTCACTGGTTGTGTTCCTGTTGCTGGTGTCGAAGATTCTGCCGCCGACGTCGCTGGTGTTGCCGCTGATCGCCAAGTATCTGCTGTTCACCTTCATCATGAACACGGTGTCCATCCTGGTGACCGTGATCATCATCAACTGGAACTTCCGGGGGCCGCGCACCCACCGCATGCCCATGTACATCCGCTCCATCTTCCTGCACTACCTGCCCGCCTTCCTCTTCATGAAGCGGCCGCGGAAGACCCGTCTGCGCTGGATGATGGAGATGCCCGGGATGAGCATGCCCGCCCACCCCCATCCCTCGTACGGCTCGCCGGCGGAGCTGCCCAAGCATATCAGCGCCATCGGGGGCAAGCAGTCCAAGATGGAGGTCATGGAGCTGTCCGACCTGCACCACCCCAACTGCAAGATCAACCGCAAGGTCAACAGCGGCGGCGAGCTGGGCCTGGGCGATGGCTGTCGCCGGGAGAGCGAGTCCTCCGACTCCATCCTGCTCTCCCCGGAGGCCAGCAAGGCCACCGAGGCAGTGGAGTTCATCGCCGAGCACTTGAGGAACGAGGATCTCTACATTCAGGTGAGGAGAAGGACCATTTAAAGGATTTTTGTCACTGGTCATTACGAAAAGAAACAAGTTGAGAGCTAGCCTCCTGCTAAATTTAGTTTTTTAATAAGGTTCCTTAATTTGATTTAGAAACTCGTTTAAGCTCATAAATCAATAAAATAAAATCTCAATTAATTTTCATATTTTGGCAGCTGATAAAGTCATTTAACCACAAATAAGCACAGCTTTCAGGAACATATTTTTTTATATTCTATAATTATTGATGGCAAAACTATTAAAATTAAAAACTTAATTACGTTGAATTCACATAATCGTAAATAGAGTCTCAGAAACAAACTTTCCACTAATAAAAACTTATAAAAATACATTTTTAATTATTTAATTTGAAAAATCACAGCTAATAAAGTAATATAGATTGTAGGAACACTTCAAACAATATTGTAATAATAAAAATAAATAGTTCTTCGATTAATTTAAGAGTTATGGCAAATGATGGCAAATACTTAAATACTCACAATTATTTTTTTGCCCTCTGCCTAAAACCCCATTCACACATTAGACCCGCGAAGATTGGAAGTACGTGGCCATGGTGATCGATCGCTTGCAGCTGTACATCTTCTTCATTGTGACCACGGCCGGAACGGTGGGCATTCTGATGGACGCCCCGCATATTTTCGAGTACGTGGACCAGGACCGCATCATCGAGATCTACAGGGGAAAGTAAGCGAGTGAGGAGTTGGAGCAGCCAGGGGCTGAATGAAATGGTTAACAGCATTGCAAACGCAACAATAATAAGCAAACGAGGTATTGAGACAGATGAGAACAATGAAAAATTGCAACAATTAATGCGGATTTTTAGATTTTAATAATTAAAGAACACTAAACGATATTTGCTTGAGCAGAATTAACACCTAAAATAACTAACTAATATTAACTCATTTTGGTAAACACACGAATTGGAACACTGAACAACACACTAAACAGTCGTCAAGTAAAACTAATAAGCAAATAATTCACCAGCAACAAATGTTAAACAAATAAATCAAAAAACAACCTAGTGGAATTGTGAGTAAATTTATAATTTTTAAAACGAACTTAGCTAATATAGACATATATAGAATGAAGTTTAGTTTAAGTGCAATAAATAGCGGGACGAACGCTTTCCAGAACCTTGTTATTATGTTGTGCCAAACTTAATCATAAGTAATCCAGTTTTACGCATGAGATTTAAGAATGGAGGAAACATCCCCGAATCAATTTGTAAATGCTTCTCAAAAACGATTGCAGCTAGCATAAAGATCGTATTAATCTGAGGCTCCGACCCGGAGCCAAACATGAAACCAATAAAAATGCAAAGTTAATTAACCAACCCGACTATTAATTTCGTAGCTGCATCGCGCATACGCCGCGTGTTACGCGCCTGGTCACTTGGCTTATTAACTAATTGATATGGGCATAATACTTTATTGGCCAACTGGAAAATGTCGATTCAAATAAGCATCGATTGTTGTTAAGCTTGCAAATCCCATAAACATCAATGTGGAAGGGATGGGGAGCCAATTATGTAAGCACGATTCTAACAGATATTGGCCATATGTGTTCGGCTCGAAATGTCTGGTCGTAGTGGCAGTTATTCGCACATTAATCATCCGCCCACGTAGCCCACGCTGGTGTGAACTCTGTCGACTCCCATCGGACCTAATTAGTGGAACACATGAACGGCCAGAAATCCCCCATTTGGTTCCTGGTTAGTCGAAGTACACACAAAAACTAACTAGTACGCGCTGTTATTGACTTACAATCGTCGCTGATTCGCTGATTACCAGATACAGATATAGATACTGTATCTCTGTCCTCACCTGTGGCTACATCAAAGGTTGCAGCATCACGACGACGACGACTTCGACGACGATGACGACTGAGAGTCGATTGAGCCAAAACTCGTCTCGCTGGCTGACTCAAAACTTCGGCATCTGCTGAGCGAGCGCCGACTTAGCTGACTTAGCCAACTTAGCCAACTTAGCCAACTTAGGGGCTGCTCTGGGCCAGGCCGGTATAAATGCGCCAAGGGAGAACATTTGGGCATCATTCGATTTCTGATTTTGCAACGAAGACGTCGCATCGGCTTCAAGTAATCTCGTGTGCGGTTTGTCTGCGAAACCGGTAATAATTCGATTCGCTGTGATTTTTGTGCAGTGCTGCGAGGAAAACTCGGAAAAACCGCGCGTTTGTTTAGCGACTAGCAGAAATGGTGAGTTCGTTGGCAAGTGGCAAAATGCCTCCGGTTTCATCCGTGTTGTGTCTTCCAGCGCTGTTTCCTGCCCCTGGTGGCCCTGCTCCTGGCAGCTGGGGTCCACGCGGATGTCTCCCACCTGGACACGGATCTCCAGGAGGATGGCTATCACTACAAGCAGCCGTCGGTGCCGTTTCCGCCTCCGGGCTCGGGAAATGGCATTGAGGACGGGGGCATAGGCCCAGGACCTGCTCCTTCGGCTCCGGCTCCTTCCTATGGACCACCGCAGACTCAGCCACCTCGTCCTCCCCCGCAGCCAACTCCTACGGCTCCTGGTCCTTCGTATGGACCTCCCCAGACGCAGCCACCGCGTCCTCCACCGCAGCCAACTCCAACGGCTCCTGCCCCGTCTCCTTCGTATGGACTACCGCAGACTCAGCCACCACGTCCGCCACCGCAGCCAACCCCCTCGGCTCCTGCTCCCTCTCCATCTTACGGACCTCCCCAGACGCAGCCACCTCGTCCTCCGCCGCAGCCAACTCCCTCGGCTCCTCTTCCTTCCTATGGACCTCCCCAGCCGCAGCCTCCAGCGCCGCAGCCTCCATCGCCGCAACCCGGACCGGAGTACCTGCCTCCAGATCAGCCTAAGCCGCGTCCGACGCCTTCGCGCCCTCTGCCGCCTCCACCACCACCACCGTCGAGGCCGCAGCCCACTCCTGGATACGGTCCACCACCACCACCTCCATCTCCACCAAGGCCACAGCCCACTCCTGGATACGGCCCACCACCACCACCACCATCTCCACCAAGGCCACAGCCCACTCCTGGATACGGACCACCACCACCACCTCCTTCTCCACCAAGGCCACAGCCCACTCCCGGATACGGACCCCCTCCTCCGCCTCCAGGACCTGGACCTCGCCCACAGCCAGGATCCGAGTATCTGCCGCCTCCTGGGGAGAATGAGGTGACCCCGAGTCAGCCGCAGCCAACTGCTCCAGCTGCACCACCGGCTGGACCCACTTATCAGCCACGCCCACCTGCACCAGCACCACCAGCACCCGCACCAGGACCCACCTATCAGCCACGCCCACCTGCACCTGCACCACCAGCACCCACTTACCAGCCACGCCCACCTGCACCACCTGCACCTGCACCAGGACCCACTTATCAACCACGCCCACCTGCACCGCCAGCACCTGCACCAGGACCCACTTACCAGCCACGCCCACCAAGTCCTCCTGCCCCACCTGCACCCACCCAGGAGTACGGACCACCACCCACCAGTGGTGGCGATGAGGCGGGATCCCTCGGACCCGATGGCTACAACTACAACAAGCCTGCCAAACCCTTTACCTTCTAAAAAATACTCAAGACCCCTGTCCTGTGAACCACCATTGGACCCAACACCCACCACCCCGCCACTCAAATCTTTTTCCAAATAAAAACATATCTCAAAAGCCAAAGTCAAAGCTGGATATGTCAATCACTTGGGGGATTCGCTGGTGGGTCAATGTCCCAGCTTAAAAAGCGACCTTCTGGGGCGTCACTTTTGACAGCTGTTACATGCAGAAAAATTAACATAAATTTTGATTCTACAGTGAAAAGAAAAATAGTTACTTAGAAGATTTATTATTATTGTCATTAAATTAAGATCTAGGACATTTAATATTAAAGGATAAAGGATTAGTTTTTATACCAATTTCCTTAGCTTAAATTCTATTTTTAATTCCCAGTTGTTTTACAGTGCAGGCAGATGGCCTCACCGAAATACCAGTGGTTCAAGTGCAGTCCCCAGACACCACCCAGTGGTGCACAGTGGCCTGGTGGCCGGTGGTCAGTTGGTAGGTCAAATCAATCAAACCTGGGGGCGCCATAAATCAGAGGCGGAAATTCCGAGAGCGTCAAGCAGCCGTGAACGTTCTCAGGCCAGTGCTGTTTGCAATATCTATAAGCCCATAACGACCATATATATATATATTTATAGGTATAATAGTGAGAGTCCATAACGATTGCAACTGGCATAGCCACAGACATTGCATCCATCCATACATGGGACACTCAAGGTGCCGGCGGAGCCAAAATAAATATGAGCGAGTCGATCGATGTCGATGATCGGCGATCGACGACTCAATTCCCACCGGTTGTCGTCAGTCGCTTAGTCAGTCACTCAGCCAGGCTCATCAGTCATTTAGTCAATATGCCAGTGGGCTTAGTCAATAAATTGAGTTAGCCGTGGCAACTTCATTAGTTGCCCAAAAATAAAGATACAAAATAAGAAAAAAAAAACTGCAACTGCAACTGCAACTGCAACTGCAACTGCGGTTGTGCAATGATTTTCCAATAGGGTTTTGTCGAAGGGGGGGTACTTTGCCACTAATTACATAAGCACATGCACAACGGCCTTCAATTTCGCTGGACACAGGGGCGCCCTAAGCCTCACTCACAGCTCGATCTGAGCCATTTGATTAACGTCTTAACGAGCGGCTTGGGTGTGATTTATGTTGTCAGGCATCTGCAGCTGCACTTAGACTTTACTTTTTGCGTGATTTATGATTACAGCACGGCACTTGAAAAGATTGGGCATGACAAGAGATTCGCCACGCATTGTTTGCCTTGCTTTGATAATTATGCGATGGAAATTACGGCAAATACAAATGGAACCAAATGGGCCGAAAAGAAGTTCAAGCGAGTCACCGGCTGACCCTAGCTAATTTCTGCCACGCCGATGACGATTCTAATTCCCTCCGATTCCATCCGGGTGTAAATTTCCCAAACAAGCTATTAATATTCCGCTGCCTCCATCTGGCGAACACGCAAATGTAAATGCGAGTATAAATATTAAATCATTCTAAATATGAAAGGGGCAAAAAAATCTTAATTTTTACCCGAGGGCGAAATTCTCAAACGCTGGCGTCTTCATCGTTTATCGTTCATCTCCAATTTCCAATTAATTCTTCAAAACTTATTCCGACAGGGGCTAATCGAAAATATTAATGGACATATTATAATTATGGCTTAATAGACATACAATAAAGTCATCAATTGATTTATGCCGTTGCCAAAAGCCGTAAAGTCGAAAAAATAGCACCTGTTCCCGCTAGAAATATTGCGCATACGCAACGTGGGCCACATATGCAATGCGTTAAGTTAGCCCCCTTTGTAAATCAATCACAGGCGAAATTGCCCTTGGCACAGTTTCCGTTGATTTTTTTCTATTCTTCACTCGACTTCATCTTTTTGCTGTCTTGGCTCATAACTGTTCAATTGTAAAACGGCAACGCACTCAAAAGTTTTCAAACATTGCGTACGATGATTTGTGTAGACGTCGCAGGCCAAGCGAAATATGAATCAAGCCGTCAGCGGTGCTCGAGTGGATCAGCGGGCAAAAAACCAGCTTTGCAAGTCACTCACGCATGCGATTGCCTCTCAGTTCAAACAGTCATGAGCAAAGGAAAAATAATTTGCCAGCTTAAAGTTAGGCTTTAAAAATGTTAGCAAAATAAACTTAAGTTGGCTATAGATTTTAACCAAATGTGCAGCCTACTTTTCGCCTCGATTTGGCTTAAGTTTTAAGCTCAGTTAAAGCTTATCCTAACCAATAAACTTCGCAGTCTGCCTTATCTAAGCTTTTTATTGGTGCTTAAAAAGATTAAAACTTTTTATTGCTGACAAAATGAGCCAATTAAAATCATAAATGATTGTTTAAAAATATTTAAAGTAACTTTAAGACAGCTTTATTTCATGGACTTTGTAATTAATTATGGCTTAACAATAACATTTGCCCAACATTTATGGTATGGATTAACCAATAATTGCTTTAACGGACATAAAAAAGTTATAAAGCAAATCAAAGAAAATCATACATTTTGTCAATGTGGATACAAATTTTTAAGCTTTCGTAGTGTTCACGATTTAAAGAGCGTTCACGATTTACATTTTAAGTCTATTTATAGATAGCAATTAGGCCGAAGACTGATTGTCTTGTTGACCTTTTCTATTTTTATATTTTCTACACCTTTGATGATGAGCTGACTTTGTATTTCAAGCTATTTTTCTATTTTTAAAATAATTTTATTGCTATTCATAAATCGATATTAGACCCAAACCTCGATTTGGTTTGTTATTACCCTAATGTCTTACCTATTTTTAAATGTATTTGCTATTTTCGAGATCGATTCATTTAAATATCGGCAATGAGCATACGTCTCGATTAAAAACCAACTGATGTCTCAATTTATAGCTCTGCCCGCAAAATTCCGCATAATCCATTTGCTACTACAACTTCCTCATCCAATTGACCGATATTGCCCCTCCTCCTCACCTTACCCCCTTAGCAAAAGAAAACCCCTGACCTACGCCTCCAATCGCATGCTTGTATCGCATTAACAGTAAATTAATCAATTGCTAATAGATGTTTAACAACTGTTTAACCTTCCCGGCGAGCATTCAAGTGGTTGCGAATTAATCACAAATCTCTCGGACAGCAGCGATTTATGATTAAACGCTGCGATTCTTGAGCGTGAACAAAATCGTTTAGCGGCAGTCGAAAATTGGCAATTACTCGCTTTTGGCCGATCCAGTCGGCTCGTGGCCAAAAAAGATTGGCTTAGCCTTTGTTAAGGATGATTGCCTATGTAAGCGCAGAGTATTGAAAGATTTCCAACGATCGCATCGCTGTGGGCGCCAGTGATTAGCATAATACCAAGGCATCGGCAACACATTTTGTCCGCTCTATTAAGTTTTAATTATAAAACGAACAAAACGCCGACATTAATCAAAAAACTGCAGAAAAGAGCGACAAACTCGATGCGGTCTAGATCGATCGATTGATCGAATCTGAAAATTCATTCATTCAAATGGTGAGACTTAAGCCCCAGAGGGCGGCTTTGTCACGCAAATTTTGTTAATGCCGCTTCTGACTGTCTGAAAGACTTGACGACTTTTTTGACTGCTGGCCAGCGTGAAGCAATTAACGGCAAAAATAGTCTGGGCCATCCAGTCATGTGGGTCGTTGTCTTGAGCACTGACAGCACTTGTCAAACCAATCCATAATGGATGTCAAAACAGCAGCGGTCCACCAGCACCACAATGGATCACCCAAAACTGGCTAAGAAATGCAAATGCAGAGTCAACAAAGGGGGAAAAAAAAACGAATCCGATTGAAAAGGCAACACGACGCATAGCAGTTAATCCAATGTTTACAATCTCTTTACAAATTTCAACCTTGGCCTTACACACACAAAGCGCAGCAAACGGCATCCGAATCGAAACAATGTCATAGCAGTTAGTCAAAGCATCAAAACCACAAGTCGCCAGCGAATTTTGGGTATTGTATCTGGCAGATGGCAAGATGATCCGTTGACTCACTGGATCCGCTGGATCCAAGAATCTTACAAAACTCGGCAGACAGAGCGGCGGGCCAAGAAGAACCTTCATCATCATCATCATCATCGCCATTAGCCGCATGGAGATAATCATTGTGATAACCATTCGGCAAAAAAAAGAACCCATGAAACGGGTTCTTCTAATGGCCATTAAGCATCGTCCGACTATAATAATCAGCATTTGCATTTGTGCAAATTGGTTAGAATGGCTTATACTTATATCTATGAACATTTGAGACGACCGCCCCTCTTTGGGTTTTCGCCGAACTAGAACTGGTTGCTCGACTTCGTGTCAGGGTGGCTTTGTCACCGAACTAGATCAGCATGAATGAAATCAATCTAATTGATCGCTTCGAACTATCCCATTAGCCATATAAGCTTTATTGGGGCAATTTTTCAGAATTCAAGTTCACTGCCAGTCGATTACAGCACGAATACAGAGTATTCTTGGGTATTCCGATTAGGAAACAATTTCCGTCTCCATATGTGTCTGCTTTTATATTTTTTGCTTATCTGGATTGCTATATTTACGCTCTACTAATGAAATGTTATATCTGACCTCAATTCTTGAGTTATATCCAACCAGTTCCAAATGCAGGCCAAATTCTATGATTATTAGCATAAAATTAGTCATATTTGTTTTAATTAGAAGCCGATATAGTTTTATGATTCATTAAAAATCGTTACCATTTAACAACAAGAAATAATTTATTTTATGGATTTTCTTTTGTTATTAAGATTTTTATAAGAATAAAATTAATTAAGAAAGGTTCTACAAATTTGAATTTAGTTTTATGTGTTTAAATTTATTTTAATAATTTTAAATAAATGTAAAGGGTAATTTTAAAATTTGAATCAATGTAATTTGAGAAACGATCAGAACTTCTCTTTATTATAGTTTACACAAAAATAATAAAGTTGTTGTATTCACACTTATTCACTAATTACCATATTTAAAAGCAATATTTTGTGAGACTTTTTAAATGAACACTTTGTCTTATCAAGCAGACATGACTTTTTTATTAGCTTCAGGTAGAGACGATTTGTATCGATTATAATTATAATTATATTCAAAGTCAAAGTTCAAATGGCCAGCTCACATGTCGGAGCCAGCGGCACGAGCCGGCCAAAAAGGTGCCAAAAGTGGCTAAATTACTCAGGTTCACAGCCACCAACGTCGCGTCGCGTCTCTGATGCTTTTTGGCCCCTGGGGCAGCATCGATTTCATTGTTTGCTGTTGTTGCGAAACAAATTATGGGGGGAGATTATAAAAAACTAATTATTAAGTTAAACAATGATTAGATGGAGCTCTTTGTGGCCATTCTCATTCTGAGTCGCCTTTCGATTCTCGTGACCGTTTGGCTTTTATTTTATTTCGATTCTGGCTAATTTCAATAATTAATTTATGCTTCCCATTAAAAGTTAACGTTCTTCTTCGGCGGCTTTCACTGTGCGCGTGTCCCAGACCGCCGGTTTGTCTACGACGGGGATCGATTGGAACCAGAATTATCGTCGGAGAATCTCCCCAGTTCGGCTAAACATTAAACAAGTCTAAACACCTGCCAAACAGCTTGTCTCCATTCCAGAGAATTCTTCGTTTTTGAACAAAAACTAAATGCTCCACTGTAGGTCAAGTCGCTGATCGACGTTAATTGCCAAATTATTTATTTCAGTCAAATGCAGAGGCGGAAACGAGACTAAGCATCAGAATTTGTGAGCTATTTAAAGACAATTTATTGAGGCGGCTATAAATCTTTCAAGTACCACAAACATTTTTTAGGTGTTGCGATAAATATTTCTAAGTCTAGATCATCAATACACAAACCAAAGGGAAGCTTCACTTTTTTGACCATTCTGCCGAGCAGTTTTCAATTGTCTCTTCAAAATGATATATTTGCTGTGCTTGGCTTGTTGTTTGTTATAGTATTTTTTGCGTAAAATATTGAATATTCATAATGGTCGACGGCGTGGTGAATGTGCGGAAGCTTGTATAAATAAAAAATTCCACAAACTATTTACGAAGCATTGTGTCGAGAATCGTGATAAAAAAAGACGGGAAAGTTAGAATAGCTTGAGAATCTTCGCTCAGTCAAGGCCAATTAAAACTGACATTACAGCTGAGAATCATCTACATTCTGTGGGGTTCAACATACCCTAAAAATTAAATAATATTAACTAAGAAAGATGTAAAAAAATGAAACGAACCGCTAAAAATGTTTTATTTTCTGTTTATTCACACGCGCTTATTCAGATGCTAAACAAAACTGGCGGCCAGATAACGAGGCGTGTCTTACCGAAAACAAAACTCTTGGTAACAAATGCGGCTAACGAAAAAATATTCAGAAAAAACCCGGGTGTTCATCTTTTGCGGTCCTTATCAGGTGGTGCGGATCGCATGTAAACACATTCAAGCCTACGAAATCTGTATTTATTTCAGCGCTTAACCCCGGTCGGACAACAGGTCGCATGCTTAATATGTTTGAACGCTTAGAGCAAAACAAAACGAATGTTGTGGGGCACGTGAAGTCGACTGGATTCTGGCTATCGGCAGGCACAGGGTCATAAATTCAAAAATCTTCGATTACCGGCATTTAGATTTAGCCGAAACTTCTATGTCGGCTCACGGCTTTTGATTCACTTGGTGCGATATCTGGTTCTCATATGCAAATTGAGCAAAAGTAGTCGCCTTGGTTCCGGCCACATGACACGATGATGGAAAGATCAAAAATATATTTACCTGTTGATATTAATTTTGTATTGGCATTAACATAAATAAGAGTCGGTTAATATAAATGTTATCCTCACAGACAGCTGCACTATATCGAAATCGTTTGTTGGCAGCATAAATCTGCCACGCCCTTGTCATTGATTTACCGATCTATAGTATTCTGTTATGACCGTTGGTAGAACGATGCTTTTCAGACGCAAATGACACATTTTGCAAGTCAAATCGCTGACTCAATAGACAATGGCCCTAAATGGCATAAGCAGCCAATAATGGATGTTTCGCGGGAGATCAAATTTATGAATGTGAAACCTAAGTTGCCAGCGTACCAAAGCATTATTAATTACATTTTAAATTTTCTAATAACCGTAAAAACACACAACAAATTGTTTTTTGGTGTTTAGTATTTTGGTAAGATTATGAAAAATGCTGCATATAGTTTGTATGTTTCGTCTTTGGCCGTTGACAAATATTCCATCAATCAATGCAAGTGAAAGGCAGCCAAAATGATGTCACTTTATCGGGTCAGAACCATTTTAAAGTTTTAAGATGTTCATAGTAACATCTTTACAATGTCTGTTGTATCTGAGCCGAAAATGGCTTTACCATTTCCTGTGTTTGGGCCACTTAATCTTTACGGACCGGCCTTGATATCGAACAAATCATTTTTATTGGCACTGCATCTTTGCCTCAAGTGGCTTCATTCACTTGACGGTGGCAGGTGAATGTATTTCCCCACACACACGCATGAGAAACGGAAATGATGTATGCCCAAAAGCCGTTAAATTTGCTTATTGTTGCCACTGAGGTCAAGTGAAGATACAAACAATCAAGCCAGCAGACAATCCAATGAATGGAAGAGAGGGCTACCAGGTTGGCGGGCAGATGGGCAACAATCTACAAATTGACATGATAAAGTCATTTTTTACCTATTTAAAAACTGAAAATTAAACATAATCAGATGATGGTCGCCTGGTTTGTTATTTTTGATGACTAATCTTCCCCTGGGATACGGTTTGCGACTATTTTAGCAAACTGGAATAGAGCCACTTCTAAGCAAAAATATTATTTTAACAAAAATTATGCAAATTATTTTATGCAGGAGACGAAACGAAAGACTTGGGCAAAAAACTTTAATTGAGGCACGCGCTGAGAGGAGACAAATAGTGTTAAATTCAGAGTATTCACACTGAAAAAAGTCGATCCATTTTTTGATATATAAAATTATTTTAATCAGGTGCAAAATAAAAAGACTCAATCAACAAACTTTAGTATGGTAATCATTTCAGTGTACTCCACTCAAAAAAAATTTGATACTTTTACTACATATGAAAAACTTATTAGTAAATGTATATATTTCAACATATTTAACAATAATTTGAAGCAAAATGTATGCCCTATTTTGAAAAATGGGTTGGGAAAACAAAAGACTTAGGCAACGAACTTGAACTTGAGCGGAGATAAAAATCGATGGAACTCTGGTATTCTAGCACTATTAGTTGACTAGCACTATATCTTAGCTAGTACTATATCTTGATTTTATTTTATGGTGAATATTTTTTTATCAATGTAGTATTTTGCTCTTTTAGTGTCTTGACTTGTTTGTGCGTCATGGCACGTGACGACACCAAAGTGATTGTCCAAAGGGTCCCAAAAGCATCTCAAAGCCCATCGGCAGCTCCAACTCCTCTTCTAGCCGCCAATTCTTCTCAATTCGTTTCGTTTCATTTAATTTAAATTTTGATTTGAATTGCCACTGCCGACAATGTTGTTTTTGGTGCTGAACGGTGCCGCTTCTGCTGCTTATATTTTGTTTTTGCCTTATCTATAACGTGGTGTGCGGTTTGTGTCTCATCGGGTTTTGGATTTTGGCGGTCGCCGCTGCTCTACCCAGACTCTCTTAGACCCACGTACCGAACTGAACCGAACCGGACGGACCGAACCGGCGATATAGTATAAATTTCATACCCACTGACCAGCTCATCATCATTTGTGCTTTGAACTTCTTAAGTGTAAATTGCTCGTTCGCTTCTGCTCGAGAAAATTTCGTGAAACCCAAAAACCAAAACAAACAAAAATGGTATGTGATCCTTGGAGCAAGGATATTGAATCCTAGTGATCTGCTGCTTCATCAAGCAGGATATAAACTTAAACCTGAATCTAAGTGAATCGTGAACTGAATCAATTAAAATCAGAATCCAAAAATAACTTTTACCCACAAGTGCTCCCCAACCCAAGCTCAAGTGTTCTAAACGACTTCATCAACGCGCTGTCCCATTTCGAGTGGTCCTCGGGACTTGTTTCACTTCACACCCGTGCTGGAGCCACGCACATAATTATGCTCCAGAATGTTCTTAAAATAGCAAGCCCAATCGTTGGCCGTTTCATAATATACTTCAAATTTGTTCATATGTGCTACAAGTATATTCTTACTTGTCTAACTGGAATTTGGTTCTAATAAAGTTGGGAATCGGTTTTAAAGGCCACTATATGTAAATTAATCTTTTTTTAATAGAATTCCTTGTTTCATTTTTATTATTCTTGTTATTTATATTTACTTATAAAATTTAAGTTAATATTTTGAAGTTCCCAAAGATTTACTGCCTTCAATATAAAGTTTAAATGTTGTTATAATGGTTTGAAGTCGCTAAAAGTTAAGATTTATAAAACACTGCCTTTTGGTAGAGTAATTATAATTTGTTGAACAATGTCTGAAATTTTAGAGGTACTTTAAAGATTTTATGAGTTCACAGGGTGGTCAAGGATATAGTTAGCCAAGCGAAGAACTAGGTCTTGAAATATTTGATTAGCATTCCTTTCTCTTATTTTCCAGAAATTCTTTATGCTTTTCGCCTTGGCCCTTGTGGGCATTGCTGCTGGTGCTCAGCTGCCTGACTCCGCTACCCAGGGACCCAATCCCCAGGATATTGCCACTCCGGAGCCGGAGTACATTGACATCGATGAACCTGCACCTGCGGCTGCTGCTCCTGCCCCTCGTCCCGTGGCCACTGCCCCTCGTCCCGTCTTCGCTGCCGCCGCTCCCATTCCTCGTCCAGTGGCTCGTCCCGTGGCCGTGGCCCAGTCCTTCGTCCAGCAGCCCGTCGTCCAGCAGCAGATCCTCCAGAGGGCCCAGTACCTGGCGCCGGTTGCCCAGCAGGTGGTGGTGCCACAGCAGCAACAGCTGGTGGGTCACACCTACAACAGCAGGGCCGGCTACCAGTACCGCCGTCCAGTCTATGTAAGACGTTTCTACCGCCTGCGCCGCTACTAAGGGGATGCAGCTAGCTCTTAACTATATTTAATACATGCTCGACAATCCTAGTAATTCCCCAATTATTTTGTCGTTTCTCTTTCTTCTCCCACTCCTCACCTGCCCGCAACAACTCTATCCGCACCAATCTCCAAATCAATCCAAACCAATCCAATCAAATCCAAACTGAATCAAGCATTAACAATTACCTTAATCAAACACACATTATCACGCACTGAACCCACTATAAAACTATCAAACTATCCAACTATCAAACTATCGTATTTAAACTATCCTAATCCTAGAGCGAATCCATCAAAGAAACGACCAACAAGAACAAGACAAGATCAAAAGCATAAAGCATAAAGAGCGAAGTACAAAGAGACAAATGATGTTCTAAAGACAAAGATCGAAAAACGAAGTATTCAGTTATTGTTGAATTGCCAAGTAAAATACGAAAAAAATAAACGTAAATTATTTGTAAAAATGATAAACAAATTTTTTTTTCGACTATTTCATTCATCTGCCAAGGCCAATAAAAACTGGTCGGTGGCATATGGGGAAGAGTATCGGGTTTTAATTATATTATTCACAGCTCATCAAGGCACAATAAAGTGTGTCGAAATTGTCCAAAGATTCGTTCTCGATTTGATGAGTACCCCCTGTCGGCATGGGTTTCTCATTAATCACGGAATGCCATGAGGAAAATGTATTTGCCATCTGATATGGACATTTGCATACGGAAGCACTGAGGCCGACTTATTACCTACTGGCGCTAGGAAATAATTTGTGTGTTGCGTGGTGTCGACACTCATTAAGCCAACACTGGGATTAAGTGGTGCGTCTTCTTCGGCCAATTAGGTTGAATTATTTATGCAGGTTCTGGCATGACTCTTGACGGATCGTAAACCGAAACTAGTCACAGCGAAAACAAATAGAAATACATAAATCTACTGGATTACTTTCAAAATACATTAAAATTTAACCGGTTTAAGCTTCTGCTAAACCTGCTAAGTTGTTCCCAAAAAATACAAGCCACAACTGGCCACATAGACAATTCAGAAGTGTAAACAATCCGTTTTAAAAGCCATAGTTTGTCCGGGTGGCCGGGTTATGTGAGACAATGTGGTATTGATTGATGGATTGATTGTCAATTTGATTGCCTTGCCTCAGCTTCTATTCAGGGGCATTAACAGTCGCTTTTGTCAGCGAACTATGACAAACTGGGTCTCGATCTATCCAATCCACTCCATTCCGCTCCTTTGTGTGCCAGCGATGACAGGCGTGGAATCCATCATTGGAGGTGCTTCCGTCTTGGCTGGGATTTCTATCGATTCCCTGGGTCAAGTGGCAATTATGCATTGTTTTTGACCTTGCTGTTTGGTTGTTAATTACATCGATATACACACCTTTAACTGGCTTTCCATTATTGCACTTGCGTAGTCATTTGATTTGAACTATTATGTCCGGTAAATATACCGAATGGTAATAGAAGTATTTATCCACACAGAGAAACTATAATTGTTAAAGCTTACTTGCTTTTGCTTTTAAGATTTTTTAATAATGTCTACCATGTATTACATTTTTGTTAATTTTTTCAAAGGATTTCTTTAGATACAGTATTAGGACTTAAAAACTGTTATACTGTTTAAGTTTATTGCATAAATTGCGGAGGTTTCACTAATGTGAACTTTATTAATTATTTCGCCAAAAGTTAGGCTACATAAACATATTGGGCTAGAAACGAAAAAAAAAATATAATTTAACTTGTATTTTGGCTACGAAAAGACCATAGGATTTAAACAAAGATTTGAGCATGTATACATTTTTAGTGAATAGTTATCTGAACAAATGCATTATTTGTAATTCCTAAAAAGAGGTTGCAGAGAGTTAAATGAGTTCAATGTATTTATACACAGCAAATGAAAAATAAAATATAACTTAAGTTAATTAATGATCGTGTGATCTTTTTATCGTGTAGATAAGATTTAATAACCTTATTAAATTACATTTTATTAATCTTAATTTGTAAATTTAATTGGTGTTGGTATTGCCTTTTTCATCCCGCTTTGCCTTCGAGTGTGAGTCACTAATTGCATTATATTCATCATACGCACAGTATACATATGCAAGCCCAAACAATTTAAATAAATATGATATACGTCTACGTCTAGAATGGCCCGTCAAAGTTCCAATTAGCATTTCGTCTATAATGCATCAACAAAAACATCGTGCCAAAAATAAGGAAACAAATAGTTGGTTTCATTAGTGCCGAATAAGAAACAGGCTAAACCGCCTGGTCGACTGGGGTCATCAGTTTTGCTTTCTAAAATCAATGATGAGAGAGATAATTTATGGGCCGTGTTTATTTAAACGGCGCTACTAAGAGCAACAACCGTAGATAAAAACTCTTAAGTAAATCATTGTTGGGCGTTCAACCGAAGATAAACGTAATAGTCTAATTAATTTGCATTTGCTGACAGAAAGAAGCGGGCGGCTTAAAGGGAAAACGAGTTCCCAGTCATTAGATCATACGGCGAATTTGCATAAAAGCAATTCATTTTGTCAACAAACATTCGGCTTCTTCACCGTTGATGGCAGCACCGAAAATATGTTCAACTTCCTGATCGCATTAATTTCACTTTCACAGCTTCGTGGGCGGATTAAAAGAACTCCGGGGGTCGAAGGTGTATCTTCACACCTCTTAAACAATGCCAGCGATTGTCTCGAGCAATTAAGGTGGTGTCATAAATTATAAGTCTGTCGTTTATTGAAGCTCAGCCACAATACGGTCCATAAAATTAGAGCTTATGGCCGTTATGGCTGCTCACTTCAATCACTCATAGTTGGGTTTGTTTGTGGTGTCAATAAATCAAGCCGGAATTGGCCACATAGCATTACTCAGTCTAGTTCCCAAAATAAACCACAACTGGATTACCCATGAATGAAACTGCCGCACTCAGCCATATTTTTAGCTGTCCCAGGGGCAATTATGCTGTCTGTCGAGCCACTTGAGCCGAGTTCGTGGCTGTGGCCTCTCTTGTGATAGGATTTTCCCCCCTCAAGTTCACGTTCAGAACAGGATATTAAACATGGGAATATACGTTTTCGCAGTGCTAAGCTTTATTCGTTTTTTAGTGCAGGCTGAGCTTGGTAAACAATAAATAACTACAGGTAAATACGTGTGACATTCAAAGACAACAAATACAAAATGGCTGAGGATGATTGCTTTCTAGAATAGGAAGGGCTCTGCTGGTGGATCGTAGTTGTAGCCCTCATCACTGTGGGGCACCACGATCTCCTGGGGCGGCAGATAGGTGTTCACGGGTTCCTCCAGAGGAGCGGCGTACGAGGGGATCGGGATCTTGTAGGTGGGCACTACAGCGGGTGCCACATAGCGAGGCTGCTCCACCACGGGTGCAGGTGGCAGATAGGCGGGCTTGGGTGGGTTGACCTTGACAACCGGTGGTGGGGGTGGCAGATAGGCGGGCTTGGGTGGGTTGACCTTGACGACCGGTGGTGGAGGAGGCAGATAAGCGGGCTTGGGAGGGTTGACCTTCACCACTGGTGGTGGAGGAGGCAGATAGGCGGGCTTAGGCGGGTTGACCTTCACAACCGGAGGAGGAGGAGGCAGATACGCAGGCTTGGGAGTCCTGACAATCGGGATCACAGGCTTCACGGTCACGGGAGGCAAGTAAACTGCTGGCGGCTGAGTCACGGGAACCACACGAACGGTCACAGGTTCCGGGGGCAGATAGGCTGGAGCCGGAGTGGGCAGGTCAAAGGGGATGCTCGGCGGGTCATAGTTGTAGCCAGGATGATCGTGGGGATCATGGTGATCATGACCGAACAGATGCGAGACATCGGCGGCTACCAGAGCCAGACTGCAAACAGCCAGGATAAGGACTTTCTGAAATATATAATAAGCGATATTAGAATCCCAACTGATTGTCCCTGAAGCCAAAAGCACAAACCATTTTTTGTGGTGGAACGTTCTTGCTGCGACGACGGCCTCTACCAAAGTGATACAGTTTCCGGCAAGTGCTTCTTTATTTATACAGTTAGAGAACCTGAACCTGAGTCAGTGGTCGCTATAAAGTCAACGGCGACGCCGCGAGAGACGATCTGGCTGCGATCTGACTATATTGACTTTACTGACTATATGTCAGCTAAGCGGCGTTTAGGGGTCTCGCCCCTTTGACAGCCGGTATTGGGAATTGGCATTCAATTTTTATTAAATCTCTTAATTCGAAGTCATCTCGTTGCGTTGGCTTTTGTTTTTTGGCCCGGCCAGAGAGCTCTTTATGGCTGGGAGCCATAAACGTGTTGGGTTTTACGATCGATGCTGCGTTTGCCAACTATTTAAAATAGTTTTTGGTTAGGCAATGATTGGGATTAATAGTTGAACGTACTCTTTTTTGGTGTTATTAAAACTCTTATAAAAGTCTACAGTTCAATATAACTTTAATCCTGTTATTTTATAGACGAAACTGGAGGTTTTATTTAGTTGTGTGTCTAATCGTGTTAGAAAGCATATCTAAAGTAGAAACTATTGTCCTTTTTTGTACTGCCCAATTCTAATTAATTAATCTTAATTCTTTAGTGCTTTAATATTTTAGTTTAATTTTTAAGTGACTTTTATACGCCACTTCCCAAGTATCCAATAAGCCCAATTTTTAATTATATTGGCCTCTAATTTCAATCTCTCCCCTTTAATAGACTAACTTTAGGAAACTATTAAAACGAATAAATCATAACTAACTTACAAAGCACCTTCTTTGAAACCACTTAAACCCTTTTCGAAAGAGCATCTCCAATTCGTTGAAGGCTTAACTAATTAATTCAGGGCACTTTTTTGATAATGGCTTTGAAAGACTTGCCCCATCTCTCGGCAACATTGAAAGAGGTCGACTGTCGCTCCATAGCTGTCGGCTGCAATTGACGATTAGCGATTTTGGTTCGGCTCAAATCTTTTTGTAACAGACTCCGCATCCAGCGATCAATTCCTAAATATATTTTCAACCAAAGACGAACATCATTTTTCATCCGAAAAGACAGTAATTATGAACACTGCAGGTGATGATCAAGCTAAACTAAAGCTAAAACCGAAGCTGTCTGGCTACTTCGGTTGATTGGCCGCAATCAGATTTGGGGGTCAGATTGAAATCCACATGTGGATCCCTCGGGGCAGGGTGACAGCAATTTGAGTTCGATATCTTTGACCTTGAGGATGGGGAAAGAGTTCGAAGAGTGGTGTAATATTGACTACTCCAATTCGTTTTTTGGGTTTAATTTGCTTTTAATTTGTACAGCTTAAAACTAGATGCAGGTTTTATGAGTTTTGTTTGGTTTTTTCGGTGGTTAATGATCCTAGTGCCTGAAGCGACGCAGTGGGGCCTTGTAATGGTAACCCGGCTCGGCATCGTGGATTGGACTGGGTGCAGGACCCAAGGGAAGAGCGTAGGATGGGATTGGGATGTGGAAGTCCGCCTCAAGCTGGGGTGGCAGATACTGTGGCTCGGGCTTGGGTGGCAGATACTTCTCCACGGGTTTGGAAGGAGGTAGATACTTCTCCACGGGCTTGGAAGGAGGCAGGTACTTAATCTCTGGCTCGGCAGGAGGCAGATAAAGTGCCTTGGGAGCCACTGGTGGTGGAGGAGGTGGTGGTGGCAGACTGGGTGCAACCTTGGGTGGAAGATACCTGGCCACTGGAGCAGGAGGCAGGTACTTCACCTGCGGCGTCGGTGGAGGAAGGTACTTGGTCTCCGGCTGACTAGGAGGAAGATAGGTGGGCTTGGGAGCCAGGACTGGGGGTGGTGGTGGAGGAGGCAGGCTGGGTGCGACCTTGGGTGGCAGGTACTTGGCCACCGGCTCGGGGGGCAGGTACAAAGTCTCTGGTTTCGAGGGAGGAAGATAAGTGGCCTTGGGCACCACTGGCGGAGGAGGTGGTGGCGGGGGGAGGGCCACCTTGGGAGGCAGGTACTTCTGGCGCGGCTTCTCCGGAGCTCCATAGCTGTATCCACTGGGGATATCAAACTTGGCCTCATGGTGGTGGTGATGGTGATCCGGCTGGTAGTGCAGATCGATGTGCAGATCGTGATGATGATCGTGCGATGAATGGGAGTGCGAGTGGGCATCGAAGTGGTGATCGTGATCGTGCCCATGATCATGGTGGTGATGATGATCGTGCCCGTGGTCGTGGTAACCAGCTCCTCCTCCGCCTCCATACAGATGCGAGACGTCTGCCCGAACACAGACGCCAAAGGCTGCCAGGGCCACAAGGATCAGCACGGGTTTCTGCAAGGAAATCACTTGATAAACCACTGCTAAGAGAGATAATCCTGCTGCTGTTTACCATTTTCTCGAAGAGATTATCCACTGATTGAGATGATGTTGCTGCCGTTTGCTGACAACAGGTAGTAATGTCAATAACGTCGTTGGCTACCTCTTTTATACGATGATCGCAGCTTCCTCAACCAGCTGACCACTTTGGTTTTCTTCACACTTTTCTTAGTTTTCATGAACTTGAGGCCGGCCAATTATCGGCGTGTGGTATCTCTCTACCCCAAACAACTAATGCGATTTCGGCTAAATTGGCTCTCCACAACAAAGAAGCTCATGAATATGCAGTGGATGCGACGAAATCCCAAACCCAGACAATTGACTGTGATTGACTCGAACATCTGCACCACTTTGCCCCATTTTATATTAGAGAGATATCGATGCTAATGGGGTTAACAAAACAGCGTTTATTGAGATAGTTTTTAGCCTTATGTAAACGTAAGCCTAGTAAAACGGTTTAAAACAAAACAAATCCGGGGAAATCTTCCATGTTCAGTTCGGTGGTTGCTTTTTTTTTTTTGGTTTAGAAGATGAACTCTTGGGCGGGCGCATCGTAGTGGTAACCTGGCTCGGGTTGAGGTGGGGGGGGTGGAAGGTAGGTGGGCACCGGCGTGGGTGCAGGTGTCGTCGTTGTGGTGGTGGTGGTAGTGGGTGGTGGTGGAGGAAGGTAAGTGGGGGCAGGAGTGGGAGCGGGAGTGGTGGTGGTAGTTGTGGTGGTAGTGGGTGGTGGGGGAGGTAGGTAAGTGGGAGCAGGAGTGGGAGCAGGAGTGGTTGTGGTGGTGGTAGTAGTGGTAGTGGTGGTAGTTGGTGGTGGAGGAGGCAGGTAAGTAGGCACCGGCTTAGGTGGTGGCAGATAAGTTGGTGGCGGCGGTGGTGGCGCCTCCGTCGTTGAGGTAATCACAAATGGAATCACCGGCTTGGGGTAATCATAGCCATAGCCATGCTCATGATGCTCCTCCAGGAGTTCCAGCGGCAAATGCGATACATCTCCAGCTGCGAGGGCCAGCAGGCAGGTAGCCAAAATGAAGAACTTCTAAAATAGTTCGCAAGTCGTTAAATTCAGGCTGTTCCATAGAGCCACATTTGAGCGAACTCACCATGTCCGTTATGATATGTCTGACACCTTGAGCTCTTAAACCACAAATGAATGACCATTTGCATCGACGGCGGTTTATTTATAGTCAAAATTCTAAAACAGATCGATACTGTCCGTGGCTCTAGAGGCCAATTATTATCATTTAAATCGATATAACTCCGCTAGCCCCACGGCATTCTTTGTATCGGTAAATGTATCTGTATCTGTATCTGTAGCGCTATGTTTATATGAATGATTAGCGCCACAATAGTGCGCCGAAGTTGACAGAGTAGCTGCGTCCACATCGCCATCATTGTTTCGGCATCGCCGCTCTGCAACCATTATGTCTTTTTGGGCCCTACTGGGCCGATGATTTTCATCAACGTCGTCACTTCGGTTTTCGGTTACCACTTCGGTCTTTGTTACGGTGTTAAAAGTAAGCCTCCACTTCCGACGGAACATGGGGCACAAAGCCTAGCACACAGAGAAATATAGATCTCTTTCAATTTAATATTCACCAACCAAAATTGCCTATCAAATTTGTGATCTTATTGATATGAATATTCAGAAATTGACAGCATTATAATCAAAGATGCCCCAGATAAATCTATAAAACTATAAACAACATTAAAAATGGTAATTATTGGATATATTAATACTTGTGTGCTAATACTAAGAGCTACGCAATTTATGTCTGAGTTGATTAATTTGAGCCAACTTAATCTCTTGATTGACATTCCTCAAGTTCATGTTATTTTAAACTAATAAATGTTTAAACATTTTATGTTATTTTTCTCTGTGCATCTGAGGAGTTAGTTCCGCAGCTGGGAGCGTTGTAAGCGTGCTCTGCTGGCTGTCATAAATCATTTAGACTTCATTTATAATAATTATGGCTCGCGCTGCCTTTTGCAACTCAAGAAGTTTGAGTGGTCAGCGTTTCATGGACAGATGGTCAATGAAGCTGTCTGCTGGACATGATCTTGCGGAAGCAATTCAGTTACAGATCAGTCGAGCAGTATTGCAGAGGCGGAGAGGATGGTAAAGAGCTTACAGATAAGTGTAAACGAGGAAACATACCGATCATTTTCAAATATAAATAACCATTTGCTAAATATGAAATAAATCTAAAAATGAAACACTCAAATATTGCTTCAGATTTATTTAATTACTATAAAATTGGTATTGGTATTTCAAAAATTTAAAAAGAATGTTATTTACCGCTCTATTTAGACACGATGCTTACACAACTATAAAACTATTTTGAATAATGTCTTAGGCTTATGAAAAATTTCCCATCGCTCTAACAGCAGCGTTAAATCAACTAATTAGTTGGATTAGCGTCTTCGGCTGCGATTGTATAACAAAACAGTGAATACTAGACTGGGTTCAACTATCACTTTTTGTTTCATCGCATGCCAAGAAAAACTATGGGTTGTTGAACCGCCCGCTAGAGATCGAGCTGATCGATTGTCAACTGCCGGAATCGGATGGCGTGTGCTGAACCATCCCCGTTTCTGCTCGCCTTTTGCCAAAATGCGCGTAATTTATGCCGATTATGAATTTAATTGTCGTTCTTTATGGGCATTAATCTCACTGCTGGCTAGGCCTCAGTTTTTATGATATTTTGCAAATCTGTGCAAATTTTGTGTGACTATTCAACCGGTTTAGATTAGAAGTATTTGGTCAGAGACATTTTATACTTCGTTATTTTATGAAGCCACAACTTTAAGCTGTGAATCTGGTTCTGAACCGATTCCAAGGCAATAAGTGTTTGGAATAAGCCCTGTCCAAGGGCCTAAATTGTGAAAGGAACGCTGCTAGATCTCGGTTTGTTTTTTTTTTTATTATCTTTACGAAACTTTGGTACAAATTCAAATTACTAAGGTGGGTCTTTAGCTCTTGAAGCGCCGGCTGGGAATCTGGTACTTGTAGCCGTTGATTTTTTTGGATGGAGTACTCCTGGATTCGGCGGCCACAACTGGTTCCTCGGGCTCTTCAGCTTGGCCAAGTTCTGCATCGGATGGAGCCACTGGAATGGCATCCTGGGGGAACTCCTCACCGGTGGGAAACTCGTTGCTGACCTCCAGTTCCAATTCCGTGACCTTGGGAACGTCGTACACGAATCCATTGCCGGATCTCACCAACTGAGATACATCTGCTCGGGCGGCAAGGAAAATTGCCAGTAGGAAAATACAGATCATCGAAAGGCGCTAGAAGGATAAATTGTGAAAAAACGTACGTTTAACAAAAATCCATATTATATATTTGCTACATTCAAATTAATAAATCCAGTTGATCTAAGCGCTCATCAAAGATCAATAAAAACTGTTAAAATGCTTTCAATAAAAAAAACATATTTTTTATAATCCATTTAGTGATGTTTATACTTAAAAAAACTAGATTTGAGAACATAAATAGGAGTATAAAATTATAAAATGCTCAAAACAAAATATGCAAATTCGTTTGATGATGCATTCAATAGAGTTATATTTAAAAATAACTTGATTTGATAGAATTCATAGAAAGATATTTTTTAAAGTAGGCAAATGATTAATTCTTTAAACAAAGAGATGCACTAATGTGATTATCAATTATGCTGAGTATCTGTTAGTTCCTTTCAAAATTAAAATGTCAAGTGTTGGCATGCCACAAATGGCTGCAATTTCGATTTGAAAAATTACTGATTTAACACATGTTTTGGTGGTATTATTATCCGTGTGAGTGCCGGTGGCAAGCTACTAAAGACAATCGCTTACCATGATGCTATGATGATCTTCAGAAGGGGATTTCTTGGATGGGGACCTTTGAGAATGCCGTAATAGTTGTCGCTGCCAGTGGAACGTTGCTCAAGCGAATGCAGGCGCCGGCGATTGGGCCCAAACTATTTATACTTCTATATGTTCGCCACATTTGCCTCATTTTATTAATTGCGCCAAGCCAGGCCGATCGTGATGACTGTGCTGAAGCCAAAACATAAACCGAAACAGTGAGCGGCCCTAGATAAACAAACAAACGAATCGATGTCTTGGGCCAAATGGCGGTGCTACTGCTGCTACTTCACATAAAATGCTACAACATCTCCATCTCCAACCACATCGGTATCCACATCGGTATCCACATCGCCATTGCCAAGGCTAAGACTTGTTTTGTGGGGTCAAGTGTCAGTGCGTTGCTTTTGTCTCAGGCGCATTTGTTTGTCGATTTGTATTCGAATTAATGATTCTGACGGATCTGTGTTTGCCCCCATCCACGTGATCCGATCCGAGTGGCTCGTAAGCGATTCAATTATGCAGCCCTGCCCCATCCATTGGTCATATGAACCGCATAAATGCGGCGTTTCAACACGTTTCCGTTTCATTGGTTTTTTTACGGCTCTGCAGATCCGCCGACGATCGCACAATTTATCCATGCCAACTTGACATTTTGATTATAGTATGGCATCGCATTTCAGTGGACATTGGAAGATTGATTGCAATAGCCATTTGGCCATTGATTGGGCTGGTTTATGTGACGGAAATCTCACTTGCTGTGAACTGCCAACGGGATCTGAATGGAGACACACCCTCTAATTGATTAGCCAAAGAAAGGCAGACAAAAGAAATCAGAGAACAAATGGACTTTAATAACTGGAATAAGCATTATTCAGACAATATTTTACTTCGATTTAATTGTGGGAACGCGGTAGTACTGCTGTAAGATTGGATTGGACTATAGGCTTTCAACCTTTTGGCATTTAGGAATTGGATTTTAAATTCAATTTCTGTACTGTATACTCGTTTTCTAGATCAAAGTAAAGTTTAAAGGTTTCTTTTAATATTTATTGCTAATCTAAATAAATAATTTCAATGAATTATTAAAAAATTTATGGAAAAATCAATTCTGTTAAGATTGCCACAAGATGCTGCATACTTTTAGGGTTTAACAAATTAAAGTAAAATGTATAACATATCAAAAGGCTTTTTTGCAAATAAAAGTCAAATGTTTTAATTTTAAAATTCTACATACAACTTGAGAAAAACTTTACTGATTTATGAAAGTTATAAATTTTCATGTATTTTCTTGAACACTTATATGCCATTTAATTTGCATTTTATTTTTCATATGATAAATGACCAAATATATAAGATCGGGAATAAATTGTAATTTAACTTCCGATCTTTTGTAGTACTTAACTTTTTCGAATTTGTATTTTAAGCTCAAATTATTCCCATGGTTAGGTTTTCAGTTAATCGGATATTAAAAGACAGAATTTAAAATCGAAAGATTTTTATTTTCACGTTTACTCCAAGTGGTTTGGGCTTTCCTGCGAAAGGCCGAACCACTCTTTCACAATTCGTTCACAAATATGGCTAATACTTAATCTGTGTATTTACAATGTGCTCGGTCAGCCTAATAGTTAAACGAGGGTTGGGGGTCGTTGGGGTAGCTGTATCCCTTCTGGACGGGGGGCAGGTACTCGACCTTGGGGGCGACGTACACCCTCTTGGTCGGTGGTGGTGGTGGGGGTGGGGCGTAGACGACGACCTTCTTGGTTGGGGGAGGGACGTACACCGGTGGTGGTGGTGGGGGTGGGGTGTACACGACGACCTTCTTGGTCGGGGGTGGCACGTACACTGGGGGTGCGACGTAGACCTTCTTGGTTGGTGGAGGAGGCACATAGACTGGAGCAGGGGCCTTAACCTCGAACTGGATGGAAGGCTGGGCGTAGTGGTAGCCATCGTCCTTCAGGATGCCAGTCGGGGGTGGGGTGTAGACGACCTTCTTCGGCGGTGGTGGTGGGGGTGGGGTGTAGACGACGACCTTCTGGGTTTCTGCGGGGGGCAGGTACTCGACCTTGGGGGCGACGTAAGCCCTCTTGGTCGTTGGGGGTGGGGTGTAGACGACCTTCTTGGTTGGGGGTGGCACATACACTGGTGGGGCAACGTACACCTTCTTGGTGGGTGGGGGAGGCAGGTACTCAACCTTTGGTGGGGGAGGAGCCTTGACCTCGAACTTCACGGAGGGCTGGCCGTAGTGGTAGCCATCGTCCTTCAGGATGCCAGTCGGGGGTGGGGTGTAGACGACCTTCTTCGGTGGTGGTGGTGGGGGTGGGGTGTAAACGACGACCTTCTTGGTTGGGGGAGGGACGTACACTGGTGGGGCAACGTACACCTTCTTGGTGGGTGGGGGAGGCAGGTACTCGACCTTCGGTGGGGGAGGAGCCTTGACCTCGAACTTCACCGAGGGCTGGGCGTAGTGGTAGCCATCGTCCTTCAGGATGCCGGCGGGCGTGGGGTGGTAGACCACGGGGGCGGGCGTCGGCTTGTAGACCACTGCGGGGGCGGTGTAGACGGGACGGGCGGGCGTGGGCCTGGGCTTGGGCGCCTCGTAGACCACTACGGGGGCAGACTCATGCTGCACATAGGGCACATCGATGACGACTGGGGCACGGGGTGCGGAGTAGTGGTAGCCATCCTCCTGCAGGTTGTTGCTGTGCGAGAACAGATGCGAGACATCTGCGCTGGCCACTGCCACCAAGGCGAAAGCGATCAGGAATTTCTGGGGAGACAAAACACAGAGCGGTCAGATGATCAGCCTGCTAAATCCATTTATCCCGCCGTCTGCCAGCTCGGTATTCGTATCCACCACCGAGTGCAGCGCTTGATCCACGATCCTCGGCTTGCGATCTTACCATTTTGCTCAGAACCAATTCAACACCACGAAGGCTGAGTTGTGACTGTGCCTTTTCTGCTCGAGTCTACATTATTTATAGTTCAGCAGCGCCTCAGGATGGCCCAAAGATGTTTCACGGCAGAAGCTTCTCGTCGGAGCCCCGAAAACTAAACAGAACCTGCTTGGGTTGGTTAACCGGCTGCTGCTGACGTCTCTGCCTCGGTCGACAACGCAGCTCCCTCAGAACGACACCCATAAACTTACGGTCTATCTCGTTCTCCGTCATATTCCAGGCGAAATGTATATTTTTGGCAACTAATTTAGAATTTGGTCTGGTCAAAAAAAAAGCAGAACATGCAGAACCAAATAGAACCAACGTAAATGAGCTTGAATCTAATAAAAATCATAACCCAAAGAAAGCACAAAGACAACTTTAAAATATGTGATAACTTAAAAGCAGGGGCTGCGATTCGTGAGCTGTTTGAAAAGAGTTTAATTTGAATTCAAGAAAAACCGGTGAAATATGGACGATCTTGTGGGATAAATCGGAAAGTGGAGGGGTACCGAGAATGGAGGTCCCGCATGCGTGCGCAATTTCATGCTCGATAATCTGCAAATATTTGGCTAGCTGTGATCGATAACCAGCTCTGCGGTGCTCTTCCTTATGACATCCAATTTGTCGTCGGGCCTATCGCAATGATGGAGCCATTTCGCACTCCAAGACATAGACAATAGCACTCTTAAATGATTCCCCACATAAATCTAGTTTAGAGCTAGGTATCGAGCTGGTTAGCGCGACGAAAAGCATAAATTAATTTCGCATCTATGCGGTTCTAAAATAAAACTGAATTGGAATGTTTTATTTATGAGAGCAGAGAGCGTTGGGGGATTTGCATAAATTCTCCAAGTTTCCGCCTCTGGCTCGTGGCTCCAAATTATCTCAACCCCCTCCTCCTCCAGTTCGAACTTTTGCAATTACTCACACCTTCGAAGGACAACAACGTCATCCAGGTGCATGAATCAACCGCTGGAGAAGGGTCAGCTGTGAGATGGAACCGGTTCCCGATGCAGTTACCTCCTCAAACTGACCTTTGCCTTGGCTCGTTGCAAGGACAACAGCAATATCAACTTTTCCTTACACTCTTAACCCAGTCTTTTAGATTCCTGTTCTTTGAGGCCAATTGACAAATCGATTTACGCAAACAAAAGTTGCACTCTTAAACTGATTTTTAATGTTGGTCATTTGAATTCCTACGCTCAAACCCGATTGTTATACAATCGATTTGAATTTTAATTAAATCAATTTATTTTTAAAGCCATAATCGCACACAAATCTTTCACTTCAGATTGTTGCGTTAATTGCTTCTTGATTCAAACATATTATTATCCTCTTTGGCTATGACGCTAAAGATGACTGAATTCCAAGAATTCCCACCAAACATGGCTAGGTCGAACGTTGACCGACGCAATTAATAAATTTATGCTGTTCTTTTTTTAGAATTTCGGGGGTTTTTTGGTCTAATATCTATTATCGTAGATGTGTTACGCAATCTTTAGGGCAGATCTCTTAGTATCGATGAAATCTGGTTTGAAAGTCAAACTTAAATCACACTATCTACGTCATGACTTTGACTATGTCGTCAATCAAGTGATTGTAAAACGTTATGCCATAGTCATTGGAAACTTGAGATGGCTCATTTAGCTGTTCTCGACTCAGCCAATTTGTCGGAATTTGATGTGTGTTTTGACCTGATCGGATCAAAGTTTCCGGCATTTAAATGAGTTCTCAGGCCATCATCTACCCGCTAATATTAAAAATTAGCTCTGATTACTTCATCCGAAATCAAAACACCGCTTCTGCCCGCGTTTTAATTATATGAATGTTGGGTAAATGCCGCAAAACGGTAAACAAGTTTAGAATTCTGCAGTCCCGAATATATAGAACCATATATATTTATGCAAATGTGTGTTCTACCCAATGTATTTGCTCAGCGTTTTGTTGAAATAGCCAAATATGTGCACTGCTAAACACGCGTGCGTTGGATTCGTATGACGGGGATCGGAAATTGCAGAACCGCAGAATCGATCCTGAAACCGGTTCAATTAGTTTGGTGAATGCTTTTGAATTTAGTGTTTATAAATTTCACATTAGGCATAATTAAGAACAAGTTTGTTCTATTCATACCTATCTGTGAGTTCCCCCAGACAAAACCGAATCCGAATACGAATCTGAAACCAAATTCCAACCGATGCATGCAAATAATTTTGAAAACTGTTTATCAATCCTAGCATAAGCCGCCACCTAATGCCAGACATTAATCTTCAAAGAGGGAGCGATAATGTGGGCATCAATTAGCCGCTCGCAACGGAAGCCGAGTTAACACAGGCAACTAACTACAGGCCAATATTTACTGGATGTTTGGCAACTTTTGGCGCGAACAAAACGAAACCGCGAAACCAACAACCGACAACAGAAACAAAAACAAAAACAAAAAGCTAAAGTTCATTAAAAATACAACAAAATTTCTTTCGGGCTGTATAAATCTGCATTAAGAGCACATAAATTCGAAGTATAATTTAACATAATCTTTGAACCAGCCGTTGTGGCTAACATTTGCGGTTCGTGTCTCGACTAACTCTGTTAAAGCCAATACGCAACAGATCACTGTTTTTAATAACGGCGGTCACGAATAGTATCAGATCACACTAATAAAAAAAAGCTATATTTTACTGAGTAAGATATTAACAGAATTAATTTATTTCCAAAACAATAAAAAAAAAATAACAATCTTAATTGCCTGTAATAAAACACATTTTAAATGTCTTAGAAAATTTCTTCGGCTTAACCATAACAATGATTTATTTCTAATATTTTGCCTACAAGTTCTCCAGAAAGTTGGTCGTTAACATGTTACATCTCAAAGATCCAAAGATAGCCCCAACCACAACCCGTTTTAACGTTGTTTAGTCAGAAAGGCATGCATGGTGTCATATAATGAATATGGGGGCAATAAATCTTAACAAAATGTACTCTTCATAAAATGGGTACTATCGTTTTCGAAGTTTCCTGCAATTTCAAGGGGTATTTAAAAAAATATATAAATATGAAACAAAAATGTATCAAATAAAAGATTCAAAACAAAATTAAACAATTTTTTTATATGGGTACGGAGTTAAAAAAATCCGAAAAATCGATATGATTTTTTGTTGTAACTTTGCAAATATAAGGCGCACAGTCAAAAGAATAAATGTTTTGTGCAACTGAGAGCCTATACAATCAATTCCAAAAGGATTTGGAAGAAATTATTTTTTGACAGATTTTGCCATTTTTCATAAGGGGTAACATCGTCTTTTTTTCGAAATTCGGATCAAAAAAATTTTTTTTGCTGAGAATACCAATGGATTGCAAATTTTGTAACGAATATAACGAGGTATGACATTCCAAGATCTGACCATTATTTCCAAGGGTTTTGATCAAAAAACCGAAAATTAGAGATGATTTTTCCGGATTTTTGCATTTTTTTACACATTTTTTAAGGGTTTTTGGTTGTAACTTTGCCAAAATCAGACGCAGAGCCAAAATAATGCCTGTTTTGTGCAGCTAAGAACCTATACAATCAGTTCCATGTGGATTTGGAAGAAATTTTTTTTGACCGATTTTTGCATTTTTCATAAGGGGTAACATCGTCTTTTTTTGCGAAATTTGGCCGAAAATTCAATTTTTTAGCTGAGAATACCTATGGATTGGAAATTTTGTCACGAGTTTAACAAGGTATGACATTCCAAGATCTGACCATTATTTCCAAGGGTTTTGATCAAAAAACCGAAAAATAGAGATGATTTTTCTGGATGTTTGCCATTAAATATGTACATTTAAAAACACATTTTTTAAGGGTTTTTGGTTGTAACTTTGCCAAAATAAGACGCACAGCCAAAAGAATGACTGTTTTGTGCAGCTGAGAACCTATACAATAAATTCCATGTGGATTTGGAAGAAATTATTTTTTGACCGATTTTTGCATTTTTTATAAGGGGTAACATCGTCTTTTTTTCGAAATTCGGATCAAAAAAAATTTTTTTGCTGAGAATACCAATGGATTAAAAATTTTATAACGAATTTACCGAGGTATGACATTCCAAGATCTGACCATTATTTCCAAGGGTTTTGATCAAAAAACCAAATAATTGAGATGATTTTTCCGGATTTTTGCCATTAAATATATTTTTTACACATTTTTTAAGGGTTTTTGGTGCTAACTTTTCCAAAATAAGACGCACAGCCAAAACAATGACTGTTTTGTGCAGCTGAGAACCTATACAATCAATTCCATGTGGATTTGGAAAAATTTATTTTTTGACCGATTTTTGCATTTTTTATAAGGGGTAACATCGTCTTTTTTTCGAAATTCGGATCAAAAAAAATTTTTTTGCTGAGAATACCAATGGATTGAAAATTTTGTAACGAATATAACGAGGTATGACATTCCAAGATCTGACCATTATTTCCAAGGAGTTTGATCGAAAAACCGAAAAATTTTAGCAAAAAAAAATTATTATCACATAAATAAAGAAATTTCGTTAGAAATTCAATAAAGAGTATCCTGTACTCGACTTTGTAATAAAATAATATATTTACTGCTATTATTGGTTAGCTCATAATCCCCAAAAAAAAAGTGAAAGCATCTACCTAAATTGATTTTATGGACTTGAAGAGCTACTTTCAATTTGAAAAATTCTAACTCATATTGATTCGCGTAATTGTTTTATTGCAGACATGGAACCAGTGTTTGGACTACTGCTTTTTATTTATGGGTCGCATTCGCAACAGCATTTTGTCAGATTACTGCAATCTAAAAAGACAATACCCATACATATGCAAACGATTCAAACTGATTACTGTTATATATACTATATATTTTGGGTTCCACCCAAAATGTCTTATAAATACCAAATGTTCCGCAGGCAAAAAAACAGTTTAATTGTTCGACTTTCAGTGATCAACATGGTGGGTTTCGATCGGATTTGTTTTTAATAATTGCAAAATCGGGACTAATGGAATGTTTTTCTCCCGCCAGCGTGTAATCTTTGTGGCTTTTGCAGTGGCTCTGCTGGGAGTGGTTGGTGCTTCTCTGTCCAGGACCTATTTGCCACCTCAAGTGCAGCATCAGGTGATCCAGGTCCCGAGGGTTCAGCAGCAGATTATCCACCGCCCGGTGGTTCAGCCACAGAACACCTACTTGCCACCCGCCCCCAGGGTGGTGCCCCAGGTGATCCCCGTGCATCGACCTGCCCCACAACTGGTGACCATTGCTCGTCCTGCCCCACATGTGGTTCCACATAACACCTACCTGCCACCCCAAGTGATCTCCCGTCCTGTTGCACAGGTGATCTCCGTGGCTGCCCCACGTAATACATACCTACCACCCCGTAACACCTATCTGCCACCCCAGTAAGATGTCTCACCATTCCGAATCGAAAAAATAAAACAACATTTCTAAGCAACTGGTTTGTGGTTTAACCCACGACGCCAACTATATTCTAATGAAATGCAAAAATACATTTAATGTGGATGTCTCGTTTCGATAATTCGAATTTGCATACTCCCGAATTAGTTAAAAAGGCAATAAAGAAAAAGCTCAGAATCATAAACAAAGACTTTGTTTAGTTTGCAGATCAGTGGAGGGCGTCAACACAGTTAATGTTATTATGCAAAAAAGGGCCCCCGAAGCCAATAACCTCTAGAGGAAGCATTTCAGACCTCAATATGTTTGAACGAAGCCGCGGTCTTGAGGCTTCCCTGAGCAATTAATCAATCAGTCAATCAATCTAGTTAGCGGAACATAGAGCCATTAGCTTCAGCACTTTGTTTGGTTTTAGTGGATAATCTTTACGGCTGACTCAGATAGTTTATAACCAGTTAATTGTGATACCGCTTGGTCTGGATCGACTTATAAATAAATCGCAGCTACTGTTTTCATTAAACCAACTCAAGTCTAGTTATGCCAAAAGCTTGGGTGAATTAAAAAAGCTCTTTTCAAGACGAAACTAAACTATCAGGTTTGCGATAATATTGTTTTGCCCACCAAAAAATAAATCTATGATATGGGTATTCTAATGAATATTTATATTTCGCATGACAGCTAAAAAAATGAGAGTTTTTAATCCAAACTCCGTCGCGTACCCAACTGATAAAAACAAGCCCCATCTGGTGCCGTGGTCGAGGTATCTGTTTGCCTAATTAAACAAATTTTTCGACGCGAAAAACGTTCCGTTGATTTATGATACTCACAACTTCCGTTTGGAACCGCAAATTCGCAGTTTTGTATAAAAGAACAGGAGTCGACGGCTGAAGACATTATTCGATTCGTTGCCCCGAAAGCAAACAGATCTTCGAAAATGGTAAGGATCTGCCAGCTGTGGTGCCTTTGAGGATTATAATTGTTGGTATTATAATTGTTGGTATATTCAGAAATATATGCAGAAATTCTTCATCTTGACTTTGGCTGTTGTTGGCTGTGTGGCCGCCGAATCGGGCTATAACTACAATGCCCCGGCTGCCGCTCCCGCTCCCGTGAGATCGTACTCCGCTCCCCGTCATCAGTTCGCCGCCTCTGCTCCGGCTCCAGTGGCTGCCCCTGCCCCCGTTTTCCAGCAGGCCGCCTCTGCTCCTGCTCCAGTTAGGACCTACGTGCCCCCAGCTACCGCCGCCTCTGCTCCTGTGCAGACCTTCGCTCCTGCTCCTGCTCCCGCTCCAGTTTTCCAGCAGGCTGCCTCCGCTCCCGCCCCCCGTGCGCACCTATGTGCCCCCAGCTCCAGTCCACCATGCCGCCGCCTCTGCACCCGCTCCAGTTTTCCAGCAGGCCGCCTCTGCTCCCGCCCCCGTGCGCACCTATGTGCCCCCGGCTCCAGTGCACCATGCCGCTGCCTCTGCTCCCGCTCCCGTCCAGTCCTTTGCCCCGGCTCCCGCTCCAGTGGCTGCTCCAGCTCCAGTTTTCCACGCCGCTGAGTCTGCCCCCGCTCCAGTGAGGACCTATGTGCCACCCGCACCCCAGGTGCACCGTGCTCCCGCTCCTGCTCCCCAGGTGCACCACCATGCCGCCGCCTCCGCTCCCGTGCAGAGCTTCTCGGCCCCAGCACCCGCACCCGCTCCAGTCCAGTCCTTTGCCCCCGCAGCCGCTCCCTCCTTCGAGTCCTCCGGTCCCGTGTTTGAGGCCGCCGCCTGCGCCCCCGCAGCCTCCCGCTCCGGTTACGAGTACAACCAGCCCGCCGCCAGCCAGCAGGGATACAAGTACAAGACCGTCCGTCGCCGTGTGTTCAAGCACCGCGCTTAGGAATGCCAATGGTTATGATTATATGATAATGAAATACGAACAATAAAAGCGCAGTAACAAATTATGAGAACATGTAGTTTTATTTGGACATTAAATTAATGCGACAGCAATAAAATATTAAAAAAGATAATATGATAATTATCTTATTATTCAAGAATGGTTTGGGGTTGAGTTTATGCAAAAGAAACACCGAAAAAGCAAATGAGGAAAAGAAACTCTTATAAAGAAGAACAAATATTCTTCTCAACCAAAAAAAAATCTATAACAAAATGTACAAAGTAGCAAAAGCGTTAAATCATTATTAATGAATATTAATATGGAATGCAATTCTTAAATGAATAACCTAAAGTTAATATGACTTCATTTTTATGTTTGTGAAGAATGAAGATGGAATAAAAGCGAGCTCTAAAAGACAAACATCTGTTCGTTTTTATGCGGAAATAGTTATTCATCTCAAAGCAATAATAAAAACTCCTTTATGTTTTACAGAAAAAAATGTTTCCAATCTATTACATTTCTTTACATTCATAAAATATATGTTTGCTTACAAATTAAATGGCTAATTTGGTAACAATAAAATTCGTAGTTTTTAGTAACAAATTAAGCTCTAATTGAACTTAGATGCGGACATTTTGTCGAACCTACAAAACACATTCAACCGTGTTTAACTTAAAATATAATTTATTTTGAAACAATTACGAAATAAGTGACAAAGTATTTAGAGTTTAACTTTCGCTACTTGTTGAGCTAGGCGAGAACGTGTCCCAAAAAGTAAGATCAAGGAACCCATATATTATTGGCGGCATGTGCAGCGTACTTAGGACAATAAATTCAAACGCTTTGATCTGACAAATTTACGGGACACTTTCGTTGTGCTTGAGAATATTCATTAGAATTTAAATTGCGGCTATTCAATAAGAACAAATGGGTCACATAAAGCGCAGAATCGATTTCTCACGCTCAACAACAGGTTTCGCTTTCGATTTCGGTCTGATTTTGGGGGCTCGATGTGGGGATGCAACCAAAATAAATCCGAAGAGAGTATAAAAGTTGCATCCACTTTTGTTTGGAATCACTGGCACTTGAGCAATGGTAAGAGATCAACCATGAGTCAAGGATTGGGATCTTATTAACCTCTTTAAATTCTAGAAAATCTTTTTGGTCCTGGTTTTAAGCCTTTTGGCCATCGCCTGCCTGGCGGATGTTTCCCATGTGAAACACCACAAACACCAGCGGCATCACCACTCAAGGGATCACGAGGATAACGATGTGGAGCATTCTCAGGAGGAAAAGGAGGAGCAACCGTACTACAAGAAGGAGAAGCATACTAGTGAAGTGGTTTACCACAAGGAGGATGATCACGAGGAGCCACAACACCCCAAGGAGTACAAGGAGCACCACCATGAGGAACCAAAGAAACAGAGAGTGGATCACTACCATCACTATGATAAGAAGCCCGAGGTGAAGACCGAGCACATCCACTACAAGCACAGCAAACCCCATGTTCGTACGGATTACAATCGTGATTTGTTTACGCCGGCTGCTACTCAAGTGGTTTATCGTCGCCGTCGTCCAAGCCGGATTCTTTACGCCAGTGCCCCCAACTCGGTGTTCCACACTCACACTCAGATCAATGTGCAGTCCCAGGACTCGGAGTTGAACTCCCTATCTCGCCCGGATTTGGCGCCAGGAGCACAGGATCCTGCTGGAGCCCAAGCGCCGACTGGTGCTCAGGCTCCCACTGGTGCAGGTTTTCGACCCAACTGCCAGTTCATTGGACCCGGAAACGTTGCACCTGGCTGTGGACCCTCTGATCCATTAGGAGCCCAGCTTGCCGCTGGTGCTTTGGCCCCCACGGGAGCTAATCTTCCAGCCAGTCAACCTGCTCCCATTCCTGGTGGCCAATTGGCCGTTCTGGGTAATGGCCAGCGTCCAACTACGGGACCAGGATATGGAGGCTATGGAGGATATGGAGGGGGCAAAAGACTCAACTTCTTTGTGGATCCCTCTTTGGGTGCTCAACTGGGAGCCATTGGAAATGCCGCAGCTGGAGGTCAACAGGCTGCCGGCGGAGGTCAACTTGCGGGAGGAGCTCAGCTTGGAGCTGGTCAAGGATTCGACCCCTCGTTCGGCGCCCAAGCAGCTGCAGGTGCCCCCTATAACCCATCCTTTGGAGGTGGCCAGGCACCGGTGGCTCAACGTCCTGTGGCTCAGGCTCCTCTGCAAAACCAATTCAATCCCAGCTTGCAGGTTGGAGGTCCTTTTGATCCCGCTCTGGGCGCTCAACTAGGAGCTGCTCAGGGTGTTCCCAATCAGAGACCACAAGGACAGGCACCTTTTGATCCCGCTTTGGGAGCACAACTCGGAGCTGCTCAGGGTGTTCCCAACCAGCGACCCAATCCAGGAGCTCAATTGGCCGCTAATCAGGGAGCTTTTGATCCCAACCAGGGCCAGTTTGACCCATCAGTGGGTGCCCAGTTGGCTGCGGGACAAGTACCACGCCTCAACCGACGTCCGCCCAATCGAGCCAATTACCAAGGCCTGAATGTGCTCAATGGCAACGTGTTTGGCCAACCGCATCTTCAGGGACCCACAAATGCCTTGGGAAACCAACAGGACACCAACATCATTGATGGAAACTTCTACAGCGATCCACATCATGGTCATCAGCAGGCTTTGGTATCGGTCAATCCCAATCAGCGTTCTGTTTTCCTATCCGATGACGATGATGCGGATGACGAAGCTCAGCCAGGATTCTTGGGATTTGCTGCCAGTAACCGGCAGTCTTCATATGTGGTTGCTCCTAAGAAACATCGATCCCACAGGAGCAGTTCGAAGCGAAAGCAAGCGGACTTGGGAACTTCAGCCTCGGAGTACGATACCGATTACCGTGAAGATGGCTATCACTACAAGAAGCCCAAGCATAGCTTCGAGTTTTAAAATGTATTAAAACAACATATAATACCCAAAATTAAATCATACTTAGCAGCATTTGCTACAAGAGCAGTCACAACAAAGGTTGTTTCATTTTTTATTGCATACTTTTGGGCAATAAAAATGGTGCTCATTTCCGTTTCCGCTTGAAAAGTTTGTCGAGTATTTTACACGGCTTTAAAAATAAAGCTTTCAAAGGAAAGCTTTTAATCCAACTTTAAACCGGACTACATACAATTCAAACCATGATATTTATAGAATAAACTTATCCAAGCTGTATTAACATAAACAAACATGAGCAAATAAATTACGGCATTTATGTTCTGACAATAACTGAGATTGGCTTTGATGGAAAAGTTTTATATTTATCCCAATGGGGTACGCGGAAGGAAAACTAGTTCAGAGCTCCAAAGAAATAGAGGCACATCAAGATTCAGATCGAGAGAGAGGCTTCGCACACATGTGGGCAAAATGAATTGTCGGCATAAATTTATGCAATAATTTAGATTCGATTCTCATGCAAATCCAATCAAGTGATATCAAAATAGAAATAAAACAAAATCTATTGTTTCACCGGGCAGCCAATCTTGGCCAGTTGACTGCATAGAGGTGAGCTGGCCAAAAAGATTCAGTGGATCCGTTTTAGGTTCGTCGCATTTGTGACCCATGGATATGAAAATCTGCGCGATTGTAAGACATCGATATGTGTGTGTTTTGTTTGTTATGATTATTATGTTTTGTCAGACTAAGGCGGGCCTTAGTAATGTTCAAATTCGCCAATCAATGTCAGTATTAGCGAACGGACTCCTAAATCAAATGTGGGCTGTCCATTGTTCGCATGTCCGTCTATTTTTGGGCCAACTGTAGGTCAGAGCGGATTTGCCGATCTCGTCGGCTCTTGACCCAATACACGGCCCATAGAAAGCTCTTAGCTGCCGCCCATAAATCAGCGCACTTCGCCTGGTGAAATTAGCTCGCTTAAGTGAGCCAAAATGCCCGCAACAGGGCATACAAAAAAATGGCTACAAGTAGCATCAAATTAAAATAATTTATGGCAAACTTTCGGATCAAACTCTACGGAGGAGCTCGGCATAAAATTAACGGAGACCGCTAGGGCATTCAAAGCCCGCTGATTACAGAAATAAATTTTGGATGATGTCTGTGCGAATTTCGCCGGCTTGTGGCTATGCAAAGCGAGTGAGTGGGTTCATCGTGGGGCTGGCGGAGTTCAATGATCCGCAGCCACCCGCTTCTTTGGCAATTATTGCCATCAAACATTGCGGGTCTTCAATTTATGCTTTTCCATCGACACTGAACAAAACCTCAGATCACTTTACGACTTGTAATAATAGAGCTTAATTACTTATTCAATAGTTAAATTCAAAAGAACATTTTATAAAATTCAAAAGAGCCACAAAAAAGGAGGATCAAGTCGTTTTTTCTTAATAAAACATTCTTTTTATTTATTTAATAGTCATGAAATTATACAGATATTAATTTTTGTGTTCAGCTTGGTTTAAAAATATATTTAAATATTTTTTTTTGGCTTTTCAACTTCTCATACACAAAAAACATATGTAATTTTAAAATTGGACAGTTTGTTTATACTTATATTCTCAGTCTATATTTTGTTATAATATATATTTTTCTGAACGAATGTAAATTTTGCTCACGTTTTGTCTTTTTCCGTTCATTAAATTGATAACCAAAAAGCGTTTTCATACTAAAATTAAGAAAAATATATTTCAAATGTTTGTTGAACTAAATTACCTCTCATTGAATTTGCATATTTATTTAAAATGAATATTAAGTTTCTGATAATAAAACCAGTTTTATTTATTATCAAAAGTCAAGAGCGCTAAAACGAGAATTAACTTTTTTTAATTTCTTTCTGTGAATCTATCAATTAATACTTCTCCAGATGGCCAACTTCAAGATACCTCTGCGTGCCTATAGGTTTTTGTGATCAGATCTGATCCAATCTCATGTAAGTCCGCCTTGCGTCATCCGTTAAACATAGCCGACGAAATCGAAGAGTTCCACATGTTGGGATGATTAATTCTCAGCACTTGGCAGCCACATAATTAATTTTAGACAGCCCACAACCGAAAATACATTTTTCAAGCGCGATCGCACTTTAAGCCTCATGTTTCCATCAGCCATCAAACAGAAAACCACTCGATGAGCCGCGGGCAGCCCCATAGAATCGGAATAAGAACCCAAATAAGAATCAAAATCAGAATCAGAATTAGAGTCTGAATTACATGAAAGGAACTTGCCAAATTTCGGCTGCCACGCGTATCCATTATTTATTGGCCCCGAGCCGAGTGCTAAAAGTGTGCGGAGTTGTTTTTTGTTGCCCTGTTGCTTAGCGTTGATTTTTGTATTTTTATATTTTTATATTTTGGATTTCTTTCGGTTTTGTTTTGTTTTCTGATCGCTGGAGATGCGCTTCATGGTGGCACTTTCTAGTCGCCGGCTCAGAAGAGTGGGGCGATTTGAAAACGGGTTTCCTGAATGATTTATCATACATTTTAGTTAAGCGAAAAAAGAGCATCACAGGCTGAAAAAACGTTAAATTTATCATAAAAGACTAAAACGTGTACTTGGCTAGTGAAGATTAGGCTCTTTCTAAAACGACATGATTTTACTCTTTATTTCAACATGTTAATGTTGAATATCAAAAAAAGAAACAAACAAATATTGCTTAATACGAATTATACTAGCTCTTAATTAAATTAATATATGTAGATTTCTTTAATGCGTGAGAATGATTTACACTTGATTTTACTCTTTATTTCCAATGATAAACATAAAAAAACAAACATTTGTTTTTAAAGAATTATAATGAGTCAAAATTTAATTAAAATTGGTAGACTCCTTTAATGCTTAAGAATATATCTTTGAGCACCATTGTTATACTAATATGACTTTCAGAGCGTATATTTTGTAAAGTCCTTACAAATATAGATCTTCTTAAAATTAAATTGATTTTTTATTGATTGAAATTTAGTATCGTAGTTTATTAGACCGAAACCTCCCTAGTTAGAGTATCTTAAAAACTAAATTAACTAGCGCGTGTGACTATGCCGGCCAAAAGACAAAGACTAAGACAAAGGAAAGGCAGCAGCCACGAGAAAGAAGTTGCCGCCTGCTAAGCTCATAGACATCGCAAAAAATCGAATGGCTATAATATTAATTAGAATAGAATTTGCATACATTAAGGCAACTCGAAATGGTTTTTGTTAGACAGAGCGACGCGACCTGTGGGATTATGCAAAGGCAAAGGCAAATGCAAAGGCGATAGCAGGCTGAATCTGGAATATAGCGTTTCGGAAACTCCAATTTGGGGAGACCGATCGAACGTGCCCATTTATTATATATATATATATATTATCCGATAACACAATCAGTCGCCGATCCAATCCGCTCTCCTGTTTTCCTTTTGTGGGTTACGCTAATTTGGGGCCCACGCTTACTTATTAAGCAGAGCTGACAATTTAAGTGTTGTCTGTGGCCATTATGATGGGTTTTTGTGCCATTCTATGGGGCGAATATATGGGACCCCGTCTGCCATTCACTAATTTGCATATTTTGCTATTTCTCGGCATAAACCGCGATTCCGAAATGGAACTTTTAAGTGTTCGGACCGGCTCACCGAACTACTGATGGATAATAATAATAAGATGAGGATGGGTCAGATGATGCGTTGGCCGGGTTATCGTGATCTATTGACTGGCAGCATGCGTGTGGAACATTTATGGGCAACTGGACCAGAATATGCTAGAACGCGCGATGTGGCCAGAGATTAAAATGTAAATTGGCAAAGCCATAAATTCAGCTCGTTAATACCGGCAGTTTGCGACTATTTTTTTTAGTGCTGCACACACACAGGAAATGAAATGATTTATCTCAGGCGAACAATGGAAAACAAAACCAGAATTGTAAGGCACTAAATGTTAATGCATTTGGAAATAGGAAAAATGATATAGTTGTTATTTGATACTGGCCAACTTCTTAATGGCCCCGCGTTAATTAGCCAAACTGGTGCTATAAAGAGTCGTCTTCCGAGAGCCTCGACTTTCGTCGGCGAGCACGAGGCGCCGATTGGTGGCGCGTGACAACCATCCATCACCGGCACGATCCCCATCACCATCCACATCAACATCACCATCCCACCCCGCCATCAATACCCTCGTCTTCGGGCAGCCACATAGATCATGGCCTTGACTTTCGCAGCTCTACTTTGACCCATCCACAATCCAAGTTGTACTGCGAATTTCGCAGAATCGATCAGCAGTTTTATCCTTCAGTTTTACGGAACCGATTAGTTCTTGGCACCTCTAACGAGCCTTGCTTCATGGCTGAGTTTTTCGGCTGCGGTGTTGCAAATACACAGCAATGTGGCCAAAAACATGTACTCCCCCTCTCCGAATTCATCATTAATCATGGCCCAAGAGTAGCCGCTGCTACTACTGCAGTCTTCGATTTACTTTGCCTCTTAACAAATTGATTAGCTTGAGTTGATCGGCTGCCTTCCACTTCTAAACGCATAAATAATGTTGATTTGAACACTTAATCCCCTTTTATCAGTTGGAGTGTGCGTTTTAAGATAAATATACTCATAAATAAGCTAAAATAAATACTGGTGCAAGCAGCTTTACTTGATTTATTTGAACATCTTATGCATGTCCATGTTCAGTTTTGAAACAATACTATTAAGTGAGAGGCTATAAACAGGAGTGCAAAAATATCAGTTGCAATTCAAATGTCAAATCTGATATATACCTATAAAAATAAATTTATTCTTAAGCTAATTATATATATGAAGACATAATTTAATCTGTGAATAGTAAGCAAATTAGATTAATCTATACTCTTTAGTAAAAAGCTGGAAAAGGTTGTTAATCTGCTAACCAAATTTTATAAAACAAATTTCTTTCTAAGACTTTGTTATATTTGTAAATATTTATAATATATATCAAATGGGACTATTTAATAGACTTTTTGTACTACTAAATTACTAATATATAAAATTTTATAACTTTAGAGGGTTTCCAGAATTAAATAAAAGTTATTTGTTTTGTTTTCAAATAAGTGGGTCATTCTTTTAAACAATTCTTATAATAATATCTAACTGATTTAGTTTGCATATGCTTAAAAAAATTATTCTTAGAATCAACAAGAGGCTATTTTTAAGAGCTCTCAGTCCAATATCCGGCATGCTGTTTACAAACTTGAACAATTCATAGGCATCAGGCATAATTATATCGCAGATTTCAAAAAATTGAATGCCTCGCTTGGTCAGTTCCTCTACTTTGATTAATGGATTGCGACGACATCGCCACAAAGAGAAGAGGCTGCGATCAAAATAATCGACTTTCAGCTGGGGGCTTTAGATCTATTGAAGTGAGTGAATTCGATTGAAACATATAACTCATCATTTGAATTTTAATCGATCGCAATTCAGCGGCGTCTTGAATGAAACAAGGCAGGCAAAACAAATACAAAGAGGTGTAAACAAGATGAGAGAGCCAAGTTTATGCAAACATTTGTGTGTGTGCGCGCGCTCGAGTTGTCCAAAACGTTGATGTCCATCAAATCTTTTGCATATGATTAAATAAAACAATTAAGAGAATCCGTGCGAACGATTTTGGCCATTAAACTTTTTTTTTAGCCATCAACTGCTCGCGAGCTTGAGTTTGTGCGAATGTAAGCGTCGCAGCCGCGGTCCATCGTGTTAGCGGAGCTGCGTTTGAGCCGCAAAAGAGAGGCTTAGAACCCGCAGCTCCACAAAGCCAAAGCCGAAATCGTGCGAATTTACAGACGCCGGCGCCGGCAGCGACGTCTTTTCGGGCAGAGGGCCAAAAAAGCCAGCTCTGTAATGGCCAGCGAAGAGCGGAGAATCTGTATAAATACCAAAAGGTTCTGCGTATTCCTCATTAGAGTTTCGGTTTTACTGCTGTGAACAAGCAACTCAACGGACAACATGGTACGATCCAGCCCTCTGGCTGAAAACGCTTTGGCATCAGGCCGCCACAGAAGGACTAAACCCACTCACCCCTCCGTTTCTTACAGAAACTCTTCCTGGTCGCCTTCGCCGTGATCGCAGCCGTGGCTGCCGATGTCAGCCACCTGCCCTCCAACGAGTACCTGCCTCCCGTCCAGGAGCAGCAGATCATCGCTGGCCCCAGCAACGAGTACCTGCCCCCCGTGGAGGCTGAGGCTGCCCCCGCCCACGAGCTGGCCGATGATGGCTACCGTTACAAGACCCACAAGCGTGTGGTTGTCCGTCGTCACCGTCGTGATGTGAACGAGCTGTCCAACGAGTACCTGCCCCCTGTCCAGGAGGCCGTTGCTCCCTCCAACGAGTACCTCGCTCCAGTTGAGGCAGCTCAAGAGACCGTCCTCGCCGATGATGGTTACCGTTACAAGACCCACAAGCGCGTGGTTATCCGCCGCCACCGTCGCGACGTGAACGAGCTGTCCAACGAGTACTTGCCCCCGGTCCTGGCTGCCGCTCCCACCAACGAGTACTTGCCCCCAGTTGAGGCTGAGGCTGAGCCCGCCCACGAGCTGGCTGATGATGGCTACCGCTACAAGACCCACCGTCGTGTTGTGCTCCGTCGCCACCGTCGTGATGTGAACGAGCTGTCCAACGAGTACCTGCCCCCTGTCCAGGAGGCCGTTGCTCCTTCCAACGAGTACTTGGCTCCAGTTGAGGCTGCTCCCGAGACCGTCTTGGCCGATGATGGCTACCGTTACAAGACCCACAAGCGCGTGGTTGTCCGCCGTCACCGTCGTGATGTCAACGAGCTGCCCTCCAACGAGTACCTGCCCCCTGTCCAGGTCGCTTCTCCTTCCAACGAGTACTTGGCTCCCGTTGAGGCTGCTCCCGAGACCGTCTTGGCCGATGATGGCTACCGTTACAAGACCCACAAGCGCGTGGTCCTCCGCCGCCACCGTCGTGATGTGAGCCACCTGCCCTCCAACGAGTACCTTCCCCCTGTCCAGGCCGCCGCTCCATCCAACGAGTACCTGCCCCCAGTCCAGGTTGCTGCCCCAGCTCCCGCTCCCGTCCAGATCGCCGCCCCCGTCCAGCTGGCCGCTCCCGTCGAGGTTGAGGCCGAGCCCGCCCATGAGTTGGCTGATGACGGCTACCGCTACAAGACCCACCGTCGCGTGGTCTACCGTCGCCACCGTCGTGACGTGAACGAGCTGTCCAACGAATACCTGCCCCCTGTTCAGGAAGTCGCTGCTCCTTCCAACGAGTACCTGGCTCCCGTTGAGGCCCCTGAGACCGTTCTCGCTGATGATGGCTACCGTTACAAGACCCACAAGCGTGTGGTTGTCCGTCGTCACCGTCGTGATGTGAACGAGCTGTCCAACGAGTACCTGCCCCCTGTCCAGGAGGCCGTTGCTCCTTCCAACGAGTACCTGGCTCCAGTTGAGGCTGCTCCCGAGACCGTCTTGGCCGATGATGGCTACCGTTACAAGACCCACAAGCGCGTGGTTGTCCGTCGCCACCGTCGTGATGTGAACGAGCTGTCCAACGAGTACCTGCCCCCCGTGCACGAGGCTCCCGCCGCCGAGTACCTGGCCCCCGTGGAGAACACCGTCGAGGTGGCTCCCGCCCATGTCCTGGCTGATGATGGCTACCGTTACAAGACCCAGAAGCGCGTTGTGATCCGCCGCCACTAAATCATCCGATTACGGCTTCACTAGGTGATCGATTTGTACTCATTTTGGAGTGCAGGCCTTACTATTAGAATACCTCCTTTTCATTCAACAAATACAATAATACGATAACGAATCCATAAAATATTAGTGTCTTAATTATTTGCAATTGGACAAGGGGTAACAGAAAGGGAGATTTATTAAATAGAAATTTTCTCTATTAATATCAAAAGACGTCTTGGGGCCAATAATACTATTATTTTATAATTTATACAACAATCGGAGGAGGAAACTGGATGAAACTTCATTAAAAACGGAATGAAATAAAGCTTTTTTTTCTTATGAACCAGCGATAAAATCTTCGTGTATCGTGATTCACCAAAGCTGAAAAGTAAAACGGATAAGTGTTTGAAGAGATAAAATATTTCAAGATATAATTATTGCTATAACGGCGTGGGCTTAAGCAAACAATGTAAACTTGACATATAATCGAATTAATTCCAAATCTATTTCTGTCAATGCTTCCGCACTCTCATCTTCATAAAGTTCAAGCCTGCTTGACGCTTTGAGACCGCTTACCTATTAAAGACTGGGTATACTGGGTAAGCAATTATGCTTTGCAAAAATGTCTTATTTATATGTGCTTATTTATTATACGATAACCATTAGACTGGAATGATCTACATAACATGTGAATGCCAATAGATTGTACATTATATAATGAATTCAAAGAGGTATGACCTTCAAATATTTAACAACTATTTTATTGGGATTTGATAATAAACACGAAACTCAACTAGTCGTTTTCGGAATTCTCCCAAAAAACCCATTTCTAAGGGTTTTAAGTTGTAACAAAGTAAAAATTAGTCGCATAGTTAAAAGAATGAGTGTTTTGTGCAGCTGAGAACCTATACAATCAATTCCATATGGATTTGAAAGAAACATTTTTTTGACGAATTTTTGCATTTTTCATAAGGGGTAACATCGTCTTTTTTTCGAAATTCGGACCAAAAAAATTTTTTTTTGCTGAGAATACCAATGGATTGAAAATTTTATAACGAATTTAACGAGGTATGACATTCCATGATCTGACCATTATTTCCAAGGGTTTTGATCAAAAAACCAAAAATTTGAGATAATTTTTCCGGATTTTTGCCATTAAATATATTTTTTACACATTTTTTAAGGGTTTTTGGTGCTAACTTTGCCAAAATAAGGCGCACAGCCAAAATAATGACTGTTTTGTGCAGCTGAGAACCTATACAATCAATTCCATGTGGATTTGGAAAAATTTATTTTTTGACCGATTTTCACATTTTTTATAAGGGGTAACATCGTCTTTTTTTCGAAATTCGGATCAAAAAAATTTTTTTTTGCTGAGAATACCTATGGTTTAAAAATTTTATAACGAATTTAACGAGGTATGACATTCCAAGATCTGACCATTATTTCCAAGGGTTTTGATCAAAAAACCGAAAAATAGAGATGATTTTTCTGGATTTTTGCCATTAAATACATTAAAAAACTTATTTTTTAAAGGTTTTTGGTTGTAACTTTGCCAAAATAAGACGCAGGACCAAAAGAATGACTGTTTTGTGCAGCTGAGAACCTATACAATCAATTCCATATGGATTCGGAAGAAATTTTTTTTTGACCGATTTTTCATTTTTCTTTTTTTCGAAATTTGGATCAAAAAAAATATTTTTTCCTGAGAATATTAATGGATGGGAAATTTTATAACGAATTTAACGAGGTATGACATTCCAAGATCTGATCATTATTTCCAAAGGTTTTGATAAAAATACCCAAAAATTGAGCTGATTTTTTTTAGAGGATTCTGGCCATTAACAGAATACATTTAAAAACAAATTAAAAACAAAGTGCCAATCGATTGTAAACTTCCGTTCACGTTTTATATTTAATATTGATCTTTATGGTATCAAGTATATCGCACTATTTTATAGACTTTAAATAAAGAAAATTTAAAAAATGAGATTAAGTACCTTGTTTTTATTTATGGTTAATAAATTGTGTGGCTTCTTTAGACTTGATCTGTCTAAAGTTAATTTTTCCAAAAGTCTGTTCAGTTCTTTTTGTTCAGGTTTTTATTCAGGCTTTGACATACAATCGGCTTAGACAGTCAGATCTATTGTCTCGGCATTGAGATCGTGATTTATTTCCGCAATTTGATTGCCTCTTTCGGCAATCATTTCGCTTTTAACCAACTGTTTCTGGCCTTTTCTCCGCTCCGATATTGAACATCTGCTTTTATTACCCGGAGTCATAGAACCCGATTAGTACCAGTTGATTAAGCCACAATTTAATTATCGATAATTAAGCAAATTGAGCTGGAGTCGATCAGAATCGGCACGCGTTGGCCTGGGAGAAATTGGTGAGTGCGGATGGGGGAACAATGGAACCTGATCTTGGCCACTAAGTATTAACGAAATATATTAAAAATATTAAGTGGCGGTTTGGCTGTTTGGCCGAATGGATGGGGGATAAAGGGGGACCCCCAAAACACAGTCTCATGCTGCCGATGAGCAGAAAGACCGCAAAACCCGTTGCAAACCTGATTGCAAAACTATAATGGATATGTTTTGGCGGTGTCACTAAATACAAATTCATAAATTAAAAAAAGCCAAATGCAAATTTCCTGCCGCAGATCGGTGATTAGAATCATATAAATAAGCAGCAGAACATCGGTTAGGGCATCACTTCCACTTGCACTCTCCGATCAACTGGACAGCCGAGCACCCAGCAAAATGGTACTAGCCAGGACCCCCAGTGCCTCGACCAGGATAAATAGCTAATCAAATTATGGGTTTTTCTTCCATTGCAGAAATTCTTGTTGTTCTGCGCTTTCGTAGCCGTCGTGGCCGCCGATGTCAGTCATCTGCCCTCCAGCCAGTACCTGCCTCCTCGTCATGGAGCCGCCTCCGCCCCAGTGGCCTCCTACTCCGCCCCGGCTGCCAGCTACAGCGTAGAGGCCTCGGCCCCGGTCGCCTCCTACTCCGCCCCCGTTGAGACCAGCTACTCGGCCGCCGCTTCCGCACCGGCTGTGTCCTATGCCGCTCCAGCCGTGTCGTACGCCGCCCCTGCTGCCACCTACACCGCTGCCGCTTCCGTCCCGGCTGTGTCCTACGCCGCTCCTGCCCAGAGCTACTCTGCTCCTGCTGCCACCTACACCGCTGCTGCTTCTGCCCCAGCTGTGTCCTACGCCGCTCCTGCCCAGAGCTACTCCGCTCCTGCTGCTACTTACACCGCTGCTGCCTCGGCTCCAGCTGTGTCCTACGCCGCTCCCGCTGCCTCTTACTCTGCCCCAGCTGTCTCCTACTCTGCCCCAGCTGCCACCTACTCCGCTGCCGCTTCCGCCCCAGCTGTGTCCTACGCTGCTCCTGCCCAGAGCTTCTCCGCCCAGAGCTACTCTGCCCCAGCTGCCACCTACACCGCTGCCGCTTCTGCCCCAGCTGTGTCCTACGCCGCTCCCGCTGCCTCTTACTCCGGAGAGAGCTACGAGACCGCCGCCTCTGAGCCCGCCCACACCTTCTCGGCCAACGATGGATACCGTTACAAGACCCAGAAGCGCGTCGTCCTCCGCCGTCATCGCCGTGGTGCACCCGCCAACGACTACCTGCCCCCCTTCCAGGGAGCCGCCTCCGCCCCGACCAGTGAGTACCTGCCCCCAGCAGCCTCTGCCCCGGCTCCAGTCTACTCGGCCCCCGCTCAGAGCTACTCCGCTCCCGCTGCCACCTACACCGCTGCTGCCTCGGCCCCAGCTGTGTCCTACTCCGCCCCAGCTGCCTCTTACTCCGCACCTGCTGCTTCCTACTCGGCCCCAGCTGCCTCCTTCGCCGGTGAGAGCTACGAGACCGCTGCCTCTGAGCCCGCCCACTCCTTCTCCTCCAACGATGGATACCGCTACAAGACCCACAAGCGCGTGGTCCTCCGCCGTCATCGTCGTGATGTGAGCCACCTGCCCTCCAACGACTACCTGCCCCCAGCAGCCTCTGCCCCCGCTCCAGTGTACTCCGCCCCCGTGCAGAGCTACTCCGCCCCAGCTGCCACCTACTCCGCTGCTGCCTCCGCTCCAGCTGTGTCTTACGCCGCTCCCGCCCAGAGCTACTCGGCTCCAGCTGCCACCTACACCGCTGCCGCTTCCGCCCCAGCTGTGTCCTACTCGGCTCCCGCCCAGAGCTACTCCGCTCCTGCCCAGAGCTACTCCGCCCCCGAGTTCTACTCCGGTGCCGCTTCCGCCCCAGCTGCTTCCTACTCCGCACCAGCTGCCTCTTACTCCGGTGAGAGCTACGAGACCGCCGCCTCTGCGCCCGCCCACTCCTACTCCTCCAACGATGGATACCGCTACAAGACCCAGAAGCGCGTAGTCCTCCGCCGTCACCGTTACTAGAGGCTTCAACGAACCCCCAAACACACCGAGTCAAATCCTGTTTATTGACTCTGGGTTTTTCGGTCATGCCGACTGATGTTGTTTGGGAACGAAATTGAGATTAAATAATAAAAATATTGAAAAATATTCCTACACTGCCTTATTAGTATTCCCCAAACAGGAAACATGGATGCTGGTAGCACAGTTATTTGCTTAACAATAATATTGCATAATAAAGTAAAAAGCTTAGGCCATTAAAGACGGCGGTTATTAGGCATTAATGCCGAGCTGTCGTCAAGCGGAGACGTCTCAGTGGCTAAAAAAACTAGTTCAGTCTGAGATGCGGAAACTCGTTTAATGATCCGAAATTAATTTTTTGCTCAACAAGTGCATTGTCGTCTCAAGCTTCAAGTTCAAAGCCAATGCTAAGATCATTTGGGGCATACTTTTTTGGCCTTTATTTGTAGTATACTTCTCGGCAAGCATGATTATTATGAACTATTGAACGTAAAAATATATAAGAATTCAATTAAATATTCGTACAGATCAGGGCACTTACCAGCAGTCGTTTTATAAACATGGATCGAAATAGGAAAAAACGTGAAAAATTTTTATATTGTGCACTAATTATTTTTTTAAATTTTTATTACAAATAAAATGTTTGATCTTATTAACACCGTCCAAAACATCTGAACTTTAGGACGGATACATCTTTGGAGCATTCTATTGGGCTGCGACTCAACTATCGACTCGTTTCCTAAGCCAGGGTTATCACTTTCACTTTCTCGTTTGAATGACCCTTGAAATTTTGGATTCAGTAGAGGTGGAAAGGCGTAGAGATAACTACGATAAATAAATTCTTTTTTTTCTTTAACCAACTTTAACTGGTGTTTATCAATATAAGCTAACGTTGCTATGCTAGATCTGTCGTTTCATCCAACTTTTCTTTAAGAAGTTGTTTATCCATGTTAATTCGTGCCTATATATATAATGCACTATTCCCGTTACTCAACTTTAACCTTATAAGGTAAGTAAGCCCCACAGAAAAATGAATGCAACTATTAAGCCATAATCCATAGCTTTTGTCATTCGTAGACTGTATAGATTTTTGATACGGGAGCTAAAGAAACGAATAAATTTGCATTGTCTTTTCGTCGCTCGATTGTAATATACTTTTCGGCTGGTGTAATGATTTTGAACTATTGAATATAACGATATTTGAGTGGATGTGATTTTGACGATTTATATTTAGAATTTTGCCTCTTCGAAATCTTGTTTATCAGTTTTTATCCCCTTTCTGCAATAAATAATCCCTCACTTGACCAATTATAAGAAGCATCTTAAACATTCACATTGTCGTTTTTAATTTCGGCAGCATTGCGTAATCGTTAAAACATAAATTTAATAAACATATTTTAATGACTAAGTTCGATTGGAGAGTCCGCAGGCAAGATACCCGGTACATCATTAAAGATAAGTATTAAATTAAATATTACAGTTAATTACAATTATTCAATTTCGTACGTTCCTAAGGATCACTATGCGCACACAGAGGCAATTGTGTCATTTAATCAGTGATGAGTGGCCGATCGACGGATGATTCTTCAGAAGTCGAAGGCGATCGCCGGCTTCGGGTAGGAATAGCCCTCGGTTTTGGGGGCGGGTGGGGGGAATGGGATGACTGGCTTGGGATAGTCGTAGCCCTGCTTAACCTGCACTGGTGGCAGGTATTTGGGGGTGGGCGGACTGGTGGGCACGACGGGGGGCAGGTACTTCTGCGGGGGATTCGTGGGTGGTGGGAATGGAATGGCGGGTTTGGGATAGTCGTAACCCTGCTTGACTTGTGGTGGAGGTAGGTACTTCACTGTGGGCGGTGGTGGAGGTGGTGCTTGGGTTGTGGTCACGGGTGGCAAGTACTTCTGAGGTGGGGCAGTGGGTGGTGGGAATGGAATGGCGGGCTTGGGATAGTCGTAACCCTGTTTCACCTGCACTGGTGGCAAGTACTTGGGTGTTGGTGGGTTAGTGGGGGGGAGATATTTTGGCACTGGTGGGGATGTTGGGATCACTGGTGGCAGGTATTTCTGTGGTGGGTTAGTGGGTGGTGGGAATGGAATGGCTGGCTTGGGATAATCATAACCCGACTTGGGTTGCGGGGGTGGCAGATACTTGGGCTGCGGTGGGTTTGTAGGCTTTACAGGAGGCAAGTACTTCGGCTGTCGTGGAGTTGTGGGCACAACAGGTGGCAGATATTTCTGCGGTGGGTTAGTGGGTGGAGGGAATGGAATGGCGGGTTTGGGGTAATCATAACCCGATTTGGGTTGTGGGGGTGGCAAGTATTTCGGCTGTGGAGGGTTGGTTGGCTTCACAGGTGGCAAGTATTTAGGTTGTGGTGGAGTTGTGGGCACAACAGGTGGCAGGTATTTCTGTGGTGGGTTAGTGGGTGCTGGGAATGGAATGGCGGGCTTGGGATAGTCGTATCCCTGCTTGACTTGTGGGGGAGGTAGGTATTTGGGAGTAGGTGGTGGTGGTGGCAGGTATTTGGGCGTAGGTGGTGGTGTTGGTGCTTTCGTGGTGGTCACAGGTGGCAAATATTTCTGTGGTGGAGCCGTGGGTGGTGGGAATGGAATGGATGGCTTGGGGTAGTCGTATCCCTGCTTCACCTGAGGTGGTGGCAGATACTTGGGTGGTGGTGGTGGTGCTTGGGTTGTGGTGACGGGAGGAAGGTACTTCTGTGGTGGAGCCGTGGGTGGTGGGAATGGAATGGCTGGCTTGGGGTAATCGTATCCCTGCTTCTTTGGTGGAGGTGGAATGTAGGTGGGAGTGGGTGGGGGAATGTATTTTGGCACTGGTGGACTGGTGGGCACAACGGGAGGAAGGTATTTCTGTGGTGGGTTCGTGGGTGGCGGGAAGGGGATAGCCGGCTTGGGATAATCGTATCCCTGCTTTGCCTGCGGAGGTGGCAGGTACTTGATCGTCGGTGGTGGTGGTGGTGGAGCAGGAGTTGTGGTCACTGGTGGCAGGTACTTCTGTGGTGGAGCAGTCGGTGGTGGAAACGGAACGGCTGGCTTGGGGTAGTCATATCCCTGCTTCACCTGCGGTTGTGGGTTGGTTGGTGGAGGGAACGGAACAGCGGGCTTGGGGTAATCGTATCCCTGCTTCGGCTGCGGTGGTGTGAAGGGAATCGAGGGCGTGGGGTAGGCGTATCCTTCAGTCACCCTGATCTGCGGTGGCTGCGTGGGCGGTGGGAACGGAACCACTGGCTTGGGGTACGAGTATCCACTAACCAACTTGGGCTCCTGCGGAATGATCTGCTGCACCGGAGGCGTGTATTTAGGCAGCGGTGGTGGGAACGGAATGGCTGGCTGTGGGTACGAGTAGCCACTGCTCACCACCACTTTCGGGGCTGGTGGTGGGAACGGAATCGCTGGCTGGGGGTACGAATATCCATCGGTGAAGGGCACCTTCGGCTGGGGATAGTCGTAGCCCTAGGGATAATTCAATTAGCTAAGTATGCCCAGATTAATGAGATGTTTATCCACTTACCTGGGCTTGGGCAAAGTAGCTCTGGCTTAGGGCGATCAAAGCCAGGCTAAACACACGAAGCTGCTGCAAAACAAACCAAGAAAAAGAGATATCGTTTAGTGATTGGTTGTCGAAAACCTTAATGGTCTTAAATCAAAGTCTTGGACATTTATATTTATATTAAGTCGTGGTGACTGACAATATTTACGTGGGCCTCGGCCGTTTATGGTCATTTTCAGTGCCGTCAGAGCATCGCAAATTTCCGCATATAATTAAGGCTCAAAAATTTGGCAAATGGCTGTGTCAGCTTTTGACACCATCGGTTTTTGGCAAAGAATTCGACACTTCCCTCAAAGCTCAATTAGGTCACGTCTATCGAAGGCTCTCTACGCACATTATTGATTAACAAGTCGTAAGCCAAATTAAACGCATTTTTGTGCGCTAATTGCCCGCGCGTTGATTGATTATTGGCAGAGGCGGAGGCCCGCATGTGGTTGCATTTGAAAAATAAATAAATGAAATGAAAACTGGTAGCAGCCGCGGGCAACGCTCATAGTCAAGGTCATCGCATCTGCCACTCGGCATTGGGCAGTCTATCGAACTTAGAACAGAAGAATCCAATCTAGACCGCCTAGAAATGTTCTAAATACTCCAGTAAGTGTGAATGGCCTCGTGGTTAGACAAAAACACTGGCGGCTTGATGGCAAAGTCACGCCGACCGGTTCGATAACCCGAGAAGATGCTAAAAATTAAATTAGATGGAAATCCCTCCACTCGCTTGCGATTTATGTAAATACAAACTAGCAATTTGCCGAACACTAATTAAGCTATAGATAACAGACTAAGAGAGAGGCAATAGAAACCTTTATCTCGTGGCCAAAACAATCTTTGGAACCCGGAATTCCATTTCTCAAATTGAAACACATAAATTTGCCCGAAATAAAAATAAAAATAAACTTAAACGGCTTCTACGAGTGCGCTTCAAGTCAGAGTCGTTAAAGACTGGTCATAAAAATAAAACCTTAATTGAATCAAGACAATAGTAGTCAAAAAAAAAATTATATAAAAAATGGAACAAAAGCCGCGCCAAACAACGTGATCATCTCAATCAAATGGAAATAGTTTAAAGCATCCCACGCAATGTTCTTATGGATTTATGATTCTTCTTATGTTTCTTTTTTTGTGTACGACATGGCAGAGAGTCTCATTGATAAATTGTTATGGAAAAATGCCACTTGTGAGATTCTCAAGCGGCTTGTCAGCTGTCGGGCCTTAAATTCTAGCGGATTTGCCAATCTTCTTTCAACTTGTGGCAAGAATCGCAGCCACCTCTGGAAACTAGTTCTAGCCACGTATAATTTGGGTTTCGGTTGCGTTATTAGTTGACAACTCGCGTTAAGATGTGTACGTCCATTAAAGTCAGAACCCAATTAAGTTTTTGTGTTGAAATGTTTTTATGGCAGTGACGCACTCAGGTGTCGCATAACATGAATAATACTCTCGATGTTGGGGCGTATTCGGAATCTGTTTCTTAATATTCATTTAGAACCTGCCAAAGATGGTAGCCCCCCCCCCAATGAGTCTTACGATTTCTGTTAGTCCAAATTGAACTTGGTCCGAACGCATTAAGATATCCGTTTTCCTGTTGACCTTAATTGAATGTTTCAACATACAAGTCTACAAGCTCGTAATTAAAGCACCCATTACAAAATACCTGCCCGATTGTGCGGCGTCATCTCGAGTGGCATAATTCTGTGCGGCTTGAAGAGTGTGTAAAGTGGGTGAGGTCTGCCGCTCGAGGTGCGCCCGCCGCTGGAACTTTTTCAAGAGAATCTGAATCTGCCCCGATCATGTCGAGTCATTTTCCTTGGCTCTGGTTTCGACTATGCTTCCGAACAAAAAGACTAAAATAAACCTTAGACAATTCGGGCGACAAATGCCGCGAAACGGGGGGCGTTAATTGTCACAATTGAGGCGTGTGAAATATCATAAAACCAGAGCCAGCACATCTATTTATATGTGGTGTGACGACCTTGGAGGAAATCAGTTTTTCGCTTGGAGCTTGGCGTTTGGCGTTAATTGAGGTTGCTCAACACTGGTTCTGGGCACCCATTGACTCATTCAGGCGTCAGCAGACGTAGATTCGGCCTCAGGCGGCCAAAAGCGAGATTGCCAAATCTAGTGGCCCGTTTAGCCGCTCTTGAAATGGCCAAGAACACGCGCATGCGTGAAGAGCAGCGCAGGGCGGAGCGGCCGGTTATGAGCGCTTCCGGCCGCAACTCCGGAGTCGCCCTCGAGTGAGTCAGTCATTGGCAGCGGATTCGGCTTTTAGAGCCCGCGGAGTCACCCAATGCAGTTACCATTGCCGCAAATCTCCACAGAAAGAAATGTCGGTTTCTTTTTGTGGGTTTTTCCATTTAAAATGTGGTTTGCTCATGCCAAAGGCATTTATTTTATGGAACAACTAAACTAAGTTGATTGGAAACGTATGTCCCTAATGATTCATATTTTTCTAGAAGCATTACGGTTATTTTGAAAGAAGAAAAATAATTCTGATTAAATTACTAAATATCTCATTGATAAATAAAAGGTTTTGAAAGGTATCAATAATAAAAAATAAACAGAATAGGGGAACTAAATGTTATGTATTATAGAAATTATAAAATATTTGACTATGTTGAATAACGAAACTAAATGGAATAATAATTTAAAAGAACTAAATTTGAATTGAAACATTATTAAATTAAATAGATAATCAATTATCTGATTTGCAATTGATACTTTTAATTAATGACTGAATGGAATAACTTCAAGCTGAACTCAGATCACCTGGACAAAAGATAATTTGTCATTACAAAAACGAATAACAAATGGGTAATATTTAAATCAAAAAGTATTGAATGTCTTATACGCAATATTGTCAAGCAAATTAACATTTTAGTAATATTGATGGTTTATTACATATTTAATAGTATGTATGAATAACCAAGAAGGAGACTGGGATAAATGATAAATTAATTTCCAATTCAATTAGTATCTCTCTGATAATGATCCTATTCTTTCCGTGTATGTCTCCGTCTTCTCCTCTGACTGATGACTGCTGCCAGCTGTTTTCTGTTATTTTATTTGTACTTGTACCGATTTTCTTCAATTGTAGCGCCATTTATGCAAATTTACCATGCGACTCCTCCACTCGGTGCGCGGAGTCGTTTCTGTTTCTGTTTTTGTTAGTTTGTTTGTTTTTCGTCGCTGTCGCTTTTTAGAAACTCTTTGGCGTTGGGCAATTTTGTTTGACAGACAACTCATGGGATGCCAGCAGGCCAACTGCCGAGCTGCAAAGCGGCAAACTGCAACCTGCAACGTGCAACGTGCAGCAGCAACTGCACCTCAAAAAAGTGTGAATATTTCTGGGATTCTAGCCGCCACAATGTTACGATTATGGCCTGATTGTTTGCACATTTCGGTGCACTCGTTTCGCACTGCCATTACCACCACTCACCATCTTCATTCTCGAGTCGTGATGCAACACAACGCGTTTTTGCGGCTCAACAGCGGATCGGGCACGGATCGGATCGGTTTGGATCAACAGCACTTGCGTCAGCACCTAAAATATATTTGCGAACACACTCTATTTACATCCAAAAAGTTCTATATAGAAGTCACTCTGTTTATGGCAAACAGCTACCCACTTGTAAGCACACAAAATCGCCGCTTTAAGGCGGTACAAAAACGCTAAGAAAACGCGCGCGTTTCGCTAGCGGCCGAATGCGCGAGACGAAGCGATCTCGAGCAAATTTGAAGTTCAAATAACAAAAACTGCGCCGACGCCCGGCGTATTTATAAGACTCCGCTGCCGAGGAGGGCCGACTGAGCCGCTCGGCTGCCGCCACGCATGCGCAGTGCAGCCACCTCGTACCGCCGATCGATTCCATTCCAGGTGAGTCTGAGTCTGGGTCTGAGTACGAGTCTTACGACAGGTCGGGTCTGCAGACCACCTGTATGTATGACACTCGGAACTGGAGCTTCGTGCGTGCCCACAATTAGCCAGTCTTCAGGGTGCTAATCGATTTCAGAGCTCCTCCCCTTCGGTTTTAAAATGTTTGTCTAGGCAGTGGCTTTGTAAACTGCAGAAGAAGCCCGCAAATTGGCCTACAAATTACCATCATTATGCGCCAAAAATAGCAATGCGACGACCTTGTGTATTAAGACTGCTTAAGCTTCAAGAAAAGTAAATTTAAAAAAAGGTCAACAATCAGGAAAATTAGAAAAGTAATTTTAAACTTAAAGGACATTAGACAATAATTATATAAAGTTAATAAATTTAGGAGGCTTCATGTTTTAGAAGATTAAAAAAAATGTAGTAAAGGGTGAAAAGTACAAAAAGGAATGTACAAAAAGGTCAATAAAAAAATGAAATATAATATATTTTAAAATTTATAATTCATCTTTTTAAGATCTTACCAATCTTACAGTTTATTCGTTTATGAAGTTATGACTTCCATAAAAGCCTTCAATTAAATCATATGTTGACTAATTTACAAGTCCATAAAGAAATAAAGAAAGCAATTTAAATTAAATTGTATAAATTTAAACAGAAATCAGCATTGTTTACATTGTAAAAATAATTAAGGAGTATGCTTTCATATTATATATTTGCCAATAAACAACATTGATTTTGTGTATAACTCCTAACAAGAAAACGTTTTCATAACTTCCGAAAACAAGCGTGCCAAAACTATTCAAATACCTTTTGCCTTGCAGTTTTGCTACCGTTTGAAGTGAGTTGAGATGCGATGACCTTCATTGATTTTATATCGATCGGAGTGCAAAAAGAACTCCCAAAATCTAAACTTGAAGTCGTTTTGATTTGTTTTTATTTGGGTTGTTGAATGACCTTAGTTGGCAGTTAACTGAAATGACGGGGAAAAGAACTCCAGCGGAGTGGAAGTAGAAGTGGAGCTGGCCAAAAGTGTGAAAAGCGGTCTGATAGGTTGGTTTTATTTCATCAATCAATCGGAACTGCACCCCTTTGCGATCAAGGGAATGTGGGGGCAAAACCTTGTTCGTGCCGCTTTTAATGGCTTATTAATGTTGATCTTCGTACTAATCCTTTAGCTGACAAATTAGACAATCGATCAAGCAATGGTTTCCATTGTTGATTCCATTAAATTAAGCTTAATACCCAACAAAAACAAAACCCTGCAAGCTAAATAAAACCACAAAAAGATGCTGGTCCATGTTCACGGCTCGTCGAACAAATAGAAATTCAATTATTAATAATAATCATAAATCGAACGAAAACCGGAAGATACCCGTACAAGATGCGTTGTGTACAACAACCATTTGATTCGACTCAAGTATTTCAACTTTCAAAACTATGAAACATACATAATGAAATGCCATTAACAACTTGAACTGAAATCGTTTATTGCCAGCCGATAATTAAAAACTAGAGAGCTAGAGCAGAGATGATCGACGGCTGCCACAGATGAGTCGAGTTTCCGCCGGAGTTCTATTTGCGTGGATAACTGGAAATTCTATTCGCTTTAAGCGGCTTAGCACTAAAACTAAAAGCAACTCACCGCTATTTAGCATCCCCACAAATGCGAAAACGTTAAGCTTTTGATTGCAAACTTTCTGATTCTCTAGAGTTTCGAAACAAATAATAAATTAGCAGGGATTATTATGACTGCAACTAGGATGTGGCTAGAACCCGATTAAGATTCAGTGGACCCCAACCATAAATAATACACATAAGCCACCTGAAGTTTTTATGCATTTCGCTGGGACAATTTCGCCCATGGCATACAAATGATTTGCCACCGACAACCGCAAGGTAAACGCTCATAAAACCAATAACCAACAATAATAATCAGCAGGTGATTCAGCCTCAATGGTTTTCACCCAAAACAAATCCGCCAACAGTTCATTAAACCTCAGGCCGCTTTACCACTTGTACAAATCGAACTGATACAAAATATTCACAAATAAATAAACAATCAAAGATGACAAATGAAAGTAAAACTCGAGAAGGCGCAGTTTGTCATACTCTTTAATTTAGGAGATGTGTTGGGTTATAAATAAAGACGAAAGGTAAATGACACAACACGAACTAATTAAATTTAAGATAGATTTATTTTAAAGGTTCAAAAAATGTGTGTTATAAAATACTTAACGTTTACTACTTGTTTAAATTGATCTGCTACAAATTATTTTGCGAATTTATTTACAATCATTCATGACTAATCATTGATAAATTTCTGAAGTCGCAACCTTTGTTACTCTTTAAAAATTTATTTATATTTAATTTGCAAGGTAATGTGATTTCAAAGAAAAACAAAATGCAACGACTCAATATAAGTTTAAGTTTACTTTTTATAGAAGTATGTGTAAAAATAAAGCTACCTGTACAAGCCAATCACATTTATTAACACTTAACCTTTAATAAGACTATAAAATTAAATTCTCAGTAACTCTAACACATATTCAAAAATAAATTAGTAATTTTTTATGACTCCCCAAAGAATAGAAAGAACTTAGTAAGTAGTTAAGCAAGAATAAAGGGAGTTAAATGTCACAAGTCAAGGAGAAATCAACCAAATCTAGTTATTAAAAAACTTTAGATCAAATGTTAAATATATTATATTAGTTAAATATACTACCAACTCCTCATTCGAGCATATATACTCCACCCGTTACAGTGAACCACCCACAAAAGCGCATTCATCAATATCTAATTACGCGAATGACAATGGATCCAATCGTTGTAATGAATTTAAGTGACAAATTTATAACAACTTTCGGAGCGATTAGCTGAAAGTGGGGGACAGATGGGGAGGCACTGTACGATGGATGGGGCGTCGCTTCGTTTTCATTAAGCACAATTTTTTCGGTCATAAAGCCAACGGCGGTGAGCAACCGCCGAAGTGAAACCGGCGACCATAACAAGTTCAGCTTAATTGCAACCTACACAGAGATCGGGGGAGCAGCAGCGAACATCTGAACAGATTTTTTGCACTCTCGTCTCAAGGTCGGCGAGGCATCTGAGTTGCGAGATGTGAGATGTGAGAACCAGAATACCCGCTTAATGGCCAGCACATGGAGCGGAATCCCAAGCTGATCCTGTTACAAAGGAGGAAGTGACTGGGAACGGGTTCTTGATCGGGCCAGAATGTGACCTTAGTGGCATAGGATTTCGTTTTCGATTTCGATTACGATTTCGCCTTTCTAAATCGCTACGCTTCTCGCTTCGCTCACTCGCACGCAGACTTGGTCAAACTTGGTCATAATTCATGGCTAGAACCGAGAGATGAGAACTTCCTGTCAGCACTTGGCTGCAGCTAATGGAAACTTTTGATATGGTTTTTTTTTTTTTTTTTGGGCAGAGAGCCGTTTCCGACAGGGAGCTCGTAGACTAGTTCCCAGTACTAAGCACTTTAATTAAAGCCTAAAATAGCCTAGCAAATCGAAGCGAAACAATTGCCATAAATATTTATGGCTCAGCAGGCGTTCATAAATCACTTTCAGCCATTGAACGCACCCACAACGAATAAATACTTGGATGGGAGTTGTATCTGTTATTTGTCGGTTTTATTTTTTATTTTTGGCAAGACAAGCGTTCTTTGGCGCAAATGTTGCGGAAGTTAACAGCTAATTAAAGAGCTTGACTGAAAATTAAATAACGAGCAGTCTCCAAGCCTAGATATTCTCTTTATTCAGTCTCGTTTCTGGTCGGTTGCACTTGGAGCGGACTTTTCGGTGGGTATGCCACAATTGATTGCCCTTGCCTCTTGCCAAGTCGAGCATGCCACACACATTAAGGTACACCCTCCCTGCTGTGCTCTATTCACCTACGCGAAGATCGGATTGGGCAAGGTCAAAGCCGAACGACTTTAATGCCTTTGGTATGCAAAATGCTTAACATTACAATCCGGCCAAGTTGCCTCGACTCTTAACCGCAAAAGCCACGCCAGCAGCTGCCACAGAAACGATAAGAAGCTGGGGGAAAACTAGTTTGGCCGCAAGTTCAATGGCCAATTTTGAGGGCCAACGCCAGGATGCCAGCGTAGAAAAAAATATCTGAACCAATATTGATACAAATGCATAAGCATTTATGCTAATTGTAAAACTGACGTCCAAAATAAAAGGCTAAAATATAAATTTGCAATGTAGTGTGAACCAAAATATCAAACAAAACATTCATTTTCAAAAAACAATAATTGATAATTCATCTTCAAAATAATTTTTTTTCCTGTGTATTACCAAAGGGTTCAAGTGCGTCCACGCCGCAGCGACCTTGGTGGCAAGGAAGAATGGACTGTCAGGGACCGGGACTGCCACAACATTGCGGATGGGGATTGTTGTTCAACCTGAAATAATACGTGCTTGACATGTTAATTCCACGAAAGACGAAAGACTTAAGACACGAACCTGTCGCAGCAGGAACTTCTCAAAGCCTCTGCTGCTGAAGCCAGATTGCGACACCTTTAAGCCGTCTTGCTGACGGATACAGGGAATTAATGCCATCGGCATATAGATTGATAATTTACTGTACTGAAATTATTATCGTATCAAGTACTGACTGCATTTTGAATGCAGTCTCCGCATAGTCCGCTAATGATGATCGCCTTAGCATCTAATTGAGATATAAAGCGACCCACGCATGGGTGAACAAGCAAATACTCGGGTACCAATCAAATCACTAGGTCGCTTTTTTTGTAATCACAAATAAATATGCTGATTGAACAGTGGGGCAAAAATAAAATATTTTAAATTAAAGTTTATATAAACTTAATCATTTTTCAATTACATTCAGAAAACTAGCTGCATCTTTTAGTAGATATAATTGATTGCATATTTGTTCTGTATAAGCATTATTATATTTTGGAATGTCTTTTTATATAAAGTTAATTATTTTCACCAATAATGTTTATTTACAAGTTATGCGACACACTGTGCTCTACTTCTCTTATTTCGTGCACTTGAACTCGAGTGTCCGCTGGCCAAATTAAATACCAAGCAAGATACAATAACTCAGCAGACAAAACAACAATGAAGACCATGGATATAATTCCATTGGTTTTTCCACTTAACAATGGGGCACGAATTTTCAATGAATTTAAATAACTCGGTTTTCGGCTAATGAAAGTTATAAATAGGGAATAAACATCAACGAAATGCAAAGAGCTTTGGGTAAAATCAACTAAAACAAACAATCAATTAGCCAAATCATCAGGCTGATATTTTTTGCTCAATTGCTAAGTGATTTATGATCCAAGAAAATGAAATGATCTAGAGATTCCAGGGGGCAAAAATCCGTGACTGTGAGAAAGTGCAATGAATGTCGGTGCTAGCGTCAGCTGACTTAATTTATTTAGCCACAAAAGCAAAGCGAGCAGACAAAAGTCTCCCAACTCTAATTAAAACAAGTTTTGCGTCTATTTTGGCAAGATTTCCAAAAGATAGCTAGACTTTAAGTGAGTCATTTCGGATTGATGAATAAATAATAATCATATTTAAGCAATATTTTGAGCTTAGTCACGCTTCAGATCAACAATGAAAAGCTAAACGATCTTTTAATAACCAATTTAACGCTATTATTGTTTACTGATATAGATGGCCATCGCATATTGAATAGGACTTAAAGAGTTCTTGATTTTGACGTTTGTAAGCCAAGAAGAAAAGTGTCAATGCAGAGGTCAAGTGGAGAATTTCGTTTCTCGCCTTCTGATCGACCTTAGATTAGTCACTAAATTTATGCAAAGGTTCCTCTGTGAAATCAAACGATTATTGTCGCACCATCGGCGCCGTTAATCTTCGATGTCCATTGTCCGTCACTTCCGTGACCTTTCGGTCTTGATGTCTGACTTCCAATATCCGATTGTTGCCTGTCAAAATCCAATCAAGACAAATAGTCTTAGGCCGCACTGTTCAGCGAGATTGTTTTGAGAATGCGAGACACTTGGCTTACACAATGCTCGCTGGTCTTAAGCGTTATATGGTATTCCACTCATAAATTACGCATACGCAGCGTAAAACAACAGGAGTCAAATATCCGACGCTTACTCCTACTTTTCTGCCTTTTATTGCTGACCATTTATGGCTGAACTTTGCTTCAGTTCTTGCCAATTTGTACAGTTAATTTGCTTCTGAAATAAAACCGCTATTAATTAGATTAGACCAGCGATATAAAAACAATGTTTGTTTGGCTCCATTTGAATTGCAAATTAGTTGGGCGCTTTCATGAGATATACGTATCCGAGCTTTTTTTACGATGGCATAAAATAACGAACACTCAGAGTTAAGAGTAAAATTAAAACAATCAACGGTAGCCATCAAACACGCAGGCATTAATTTGTACAAAGTATAACATTTATTTATGTAATATTTAGTTGGTTGTACTCTTTTTTTTGTGATTTTTTGCTTAATTGAAGCAATTATCCTCGCGCAAGGGGCAGTGCAGTTAATCTGTTCGCCATCCGGTCAAGAACGCATCGTCTGGCTATTGAGGCTAGTGCTGGCTATTAATGCTATCTTTGTCGACTTCTATTTCTATTTCTCTACTTATTTCTTTCTATTCGAACTAGTGCTGGTAGATGTCTGATGCTGATAGAGTTCTACTGAGGCTGGGAATGTCTTTCTTGTTCAAGTTAAGACTATTCCCTAGAAGTAGTGTCCATAATGTCCATGGTGATGTCCATGTCCGTAGTAGCCACCATATCCTCCATAGCCTCCGTAGTAGGGATAACCTGGGGATGAATTAAACAAATATTATATTACATAGAAAATATACTATGCTTACAGTTAAGATCTATTTGAATTGATTTTTAAAAAAATCGTTTTAAAGGATATTCTTCAAGTACTTATGTAGCAATCATTTTGGGTACACAAAAAATAAAAAAAAGACTTTTCAAATAAACTTGGGACTTAAAATGAACAATATAGTTAAATACTGTTATTCTCCAAACTTTTTTTATAGAATATTTAATTTAGTGGATATATATGTTTAATTTTTTTCCACTAAAAATTTTCTTACCGATTCCGTAGTAACTTCCGCTGTAATGTGGCCAATATCCGCCGCCGTAGTAGCCACCCAAGTACGGCGATGAGTAGTATCCGTATCCAAAGGATGCTGCTCCCTCGAGATCCTTCTCCTCGGCCTCCACATTGGCCTCCTGGTCGCCGCCCTCCTCTCGACCCTCCTGTGGGCGTGGCAGGGCCTCAGATCCGGCCAAAAACAGGGCCAAAAGGCAGAGGGCGAGCAGCAGGCAAACGGATTTGGCTTGGAACATCTTGGTGGGTTTTTCTTTGCGGATTTCCTTTGGGCTAACAACGGTGGAAATGCCACTCGGGGCTTACAACAACTGACTGACTGACGCTGGGAGCGTGCAGCGGGCTTTTATAATGGCCAATAGCGATTCTTGCAACGCCGCATTGCCATCAATGCGCAGCGACAAAACAATTGTCTAAGCGAAAAACGGTTTTCCCCCTCCAATTTGGGCGACTCCAGCTGCGTGTGCTTCTAACAATCCGAAAGAAAAACCCCACCGAAACATCAATGAATCGGCCAAAGGGGGGAGGCTTCTATTTCTTGCATGACCGACTACTAATTACAATGCTTTGGGCCAACTTATGTTTGCTTGTTTCTCTCTTGCCACCCACCGCCCACTCCGGCCACTCAGTCTGTGATCAGTGGGGTCAATGTCGCAATGGGCAGTGCCCCTCTTCTTTTCGATAAAGGCCAGGAATCCGTTTGCTTACATAATGTGGACCGATTTCTCTACCCAACTATCGTTCCACTCTAATTTATCTCTCGCCCCGCCAACACACAAAATAATAATCATAAAAACCCAACACACGCTCTATAAATTAAATAATTCTTTGACAAAGTGGCTGGACAACATTCTAATCCCATAAAAAAAATGCCGCCCAAAAAACGTCAGACTCGGTTTAGTAGCCAAAAACGAATGTGGAAATGAAAATGTTCCAAGAATAGAGATATGGGATCCCCATAAAACTAGCCACCAAACCAAACTAGTATCATCTGAGTGAGAGATCCGAGAGATCTGTGAGATCTATATTCCCTGTAAGAGAGGTCAAATGTATTTTCTTCCGCTTCATCTGAGTTACTCGGTTTCCCCCATACCCGCACCCGTGTTAATTGCCGAAAATCTTCTCACAACTTTGCATGTTAGGCGGGGTCAGGGCTTGGGACAATGCGTTTCGCACGTTTGGCCGCCGAAGCTCGGGGCTAATTGCCAGCTTGGGCTTATCTAAATTGCCGCATTAGCCAAGAACTTGTGACTTGAGTTGGGAGTAGTTGTAATTAGCCAAGTTAAATGCTTGGTTGCCCACCAAGAATCCCCTGAGATGTAGCATTGAAAGAGGTAAGCTGAAGAGTTCCAGGGCTAGTACCTTATTATTTGTAAATAATTACTAAGTTTGTGATATGCAAATATATTCGAAATTACCAGAGTTTAAAAAATTCAGAAAAACCTAGCTTGAAAAAGCGCCTAAAAACTTTTAGCGTACAAAAAACGTAATTTTAAAATTGATTTTGAAATAATTAATATTTGATCAGGAAACTTTAGCATCTTAAATTCAGAAGTTAAAATTTGAAGTTAAAATTCCAAAAACACACGAAACGCGTGTGTTATAGGGTATAATTTTCCATTTAAACAGTTACCATTTTTCTCTCTGTTTCAGTAATAATACTTTATTCTTTGTAAATAAATAATTAACAACTAGTTAAGCACTTATCGAACACATTTTACTCCAAGTCCAATGTGGACACACTCTGATTTTGGTTGGGCATGTCGGGGAACCGATGAAAGAGCGATGAAGAAGGCTTGGTTTGACTATCGAGTCGGGTCTCGTAGATGCCACCCTCTGCGTTAATCAGATACCAATTGGGAGTGGGAGTGGGTCTTTGCAACTCCTCTCTATTTAGGCCAGTTATGGGTGCCACTGTGGGTAGCTTTTTGGCCAAGTCATCCAGCTCCTTGAGGTACACATCCAAGGCCCGGTAGTCCGTGTTGTTGGCCACCTCGCCAGGGCCAATAGACTTTGGTCCCGTTAAGAGATCGTGCTCCTGCCACAAATTGCGTATGTTCGTCATTACATCCGCATAGAGTATGGAGTCATCGCTGCGGCCCAAGTTGCGGTTGTTATTTGGTGATTTGGATTTGGATTTGCGTGAATTCACCAGGCGACTGGCCAACGGAGTTGCGGAAGTTTCCGCAATTGAATTGGCACTTGAAAACACCGATTTGCCAGTGGTTGTTATTGTCGCCTTTGTGGTAGTTGCTGTTAAATCGTTGCGGAAGTGGCGCCGCCTCTCCTTTAATTTTTCCCGCTCTGCTGATTTGGCTTGCTGTTTAAAAAGTCTTTGGCGACGTCGCCGATTGTCGCAGTTGGTTGCATTACTGCAGATTGGTGACCTCTTCACCTCATTGGTGGTTTCGCCTTCGTCGGGTAAATATTGTGTGGCGTTTTTCAGCAGGTCCCCAATGTGAGCCACCAACTTCAACCCCTTTTGCACATCGTAGACTTCCTTTCTCTTCTCCGGAATTTCCCTGCGATTTCTTTTACTTCTCTTGTGCTCTTGGTTGCGACTCAACACCGCTCTTAGCCTTTGCTGTTGGCCACGATGGTAGATCTGCTGCTCGATGGTTTTTTGGCCTATCAAAGTGTGACTTTGTCGCTGGATATGACGTTGTCTTATTAAAGGAAACTTGTGTCTTTGATGCTGCAAAAGGCGCTCTGTTTTCCGCACTGAGGCAAGAATTTCCATGGGTATTTGCAGCTGATTGGGGCCGTTTTGAATCTGGGTTTCCTGTGTCAGCAGATCTCCTTGGGGTATAACTTTAACCCTATTTGTGGCCACCTTTCGAGGTTGTTCCCAAACAACAGGTGGATTAATGGGTTGCCTTTGTCGCAATCGCTTCAGCTGCTGGAAATGCTGAGGTGGCTCAATAATCCTGATGACATCCCCTGCATCATCGTCCACATATCCTGGACGAATGTCCTGCAGATGCGGAGGAACTCTATTCTCGGGATGTTTGGGTTCGGGCTTGGAAACTCTATAAACTGGAGGACTTGGAGAGCTACTAGCAGCTCCCTCCTTGCCCAGATTATCCACTTTAATCGCCTGACTTAGTAGCGAATACAGGAGGAGCTGCCAACAAATCCTGAGCACTGCCATTGCTCTTTTACTCTCACTGTATCCCAAGGTCGGGGAAATGCTACTTTTCACTTTCGCGTTCGACGGCCGACCGACAACTGTGCAGTAAGTGTGCTATCATTGGGCCTTTATAAAATTTCCTCGCCGTTTTTCCCATTTTCCAGTTTGATCGCCGCGAGCCTTTCTTTCTTTCTTTCTTTCGTGACGAGATAGATGTCTTTGGAGTCGTCATCGTCGTCGTCGTCATCGGTCGTTTGTTTGCTTCGGCAGCAAATGAAAGCGAAACTGGCCAGCCGAATGACGTTGCAAGTAGCTGGTTGCCAGTTGCAGGTTGCCGCGTTCAACGTCCAATGTTATAACTGGTCAAAGTCGGAGTTAAAGCCTCGTTTCGCTTTAGAAACCCACTTTGCATACGCGCCCCACGATCCACAGCAGCATTGCAACTTTCTGGCTCCTCTGCAGAAACTAGTTTTCAATTCAGTTTCGATCGTGTGGGTAAGTGTTTTTATTTTCGCGGTCTCGAATCTCATTAGCGCCCGCCACTTGACCCTCAACTTTAACTTCGCCAGAGCCACTGAAATGTATTTGTGTCATTTGGGCGAAAGGCAAAACGAACGGTGAAATAATTTATGCACTGTCCATTTAATTTGCGTGTCTTAAATATTTTGGGAATAATGGCATCTTCACATGGCCATGATTTATAGTGAAACTTTTGGAATGCTTCTTTGGGAATATTTAATAGGAATAATTAATTTATTCATGAACACCTAAAAAATAAAATGTTTTTATTGTTGGCTAAGAATGGGACTCAAATTTCATTTTATTGATGGAGAGCATGTTTAAATAGGGGCTATAGGAAGCCTAAATAAATGTAGATCATAAAATGTTAATTCTTCCGAGGCTCAGCTTAATAAAAGCATATAATAAAAATTGGTTATAAAATAAGATGGTAAATGTTAGGTAAATAATAAAATTTAATACTTAACGGTCTTTTAAAATTAAATTAGGCCTCACATTACCTAAGGTTGTTTAGGCACTTTGATCAGTTATAAAAATAATTAATAAAATAGTTGGTAATGGTTTTTACAGACACTATTGGACTTTAATTTAATGCAAGACTATATTCTCGATTAAATTTAACAGCTCTTTTAGTGGCAATAAGGTTGCGCATGCGTTTTGTGTTAACATTGGTCAGCATTTTAATAAACGCCTAAAAGATGCTTTAAAATAATTTAAATGTATTTAACAGTGGTTTGAGACGGTAGTTAACAGCAGCACAGTGAGCGCAAAATGTAGGTGCACCTCAGAGAATAAAATTCTGTTTGAGTAACCCAAAAAATAATTTCTCAACCCAACTAAAAACACATCATATGATTTTAATAAATTATATTTATTGCTAAAACTCTTGCGACAAGTCAACCAAGCTCTTGACCAATTCATCTCTTATTTTTCGCTACACACTACAAAATAAATAAATAAATAAACATAGTTGGTTAAACATTAGAGTGGGTTCAGTGGATATGAGGGTTGAGATTAGGAGCTATTTAGACAAACTACAAGATTAAGCTCCTGGCGAGAAGGGCAGAGATTACGAGCTAAGGCATCGGCGTTAATACGTTAGATTTCGGGGATGTTTAGGTTGTTGATGGAATCATGCGACTTAAGCTACTCCGCAACCATGGGCAGCCAGGCGTTATCGCTGGCGAAACCGGACAAACCACCACCCACAGCACCTGCACCACCCACACCACTGGCACCACCATTTGCCCTGAATCCCATGCGCCGCTCGTGAGTCTTGGGCACCGGAATGGGATGTTGGTACACTCCAGCGATGCTCTCCATGCCCATGCTCATGCCCATTCCCTTTTGCTGCGATGAAGGGGTATTCTGCGGGTATATACGCTGCTCCACTATGCGGGATTCCTCTGCCATGGGAGTCACTGTGGCCGCCGCCTCCGCCCTGCGGTTCTTCTCGAAGAAATCGATGATGGGATGGTAGTTATAGTTGATCCGCTTGCCCGACACCTCGCCATTGCCGCCGCTCGGGAAGATCGAGCTCACTGGATAGCCGGCCGGCGGTGGTTGTGGTAGTGCCGTCGACTGATCCCGCTCCCACTGAGTGGTGCGCTCGGTCGAAAGTGACGGCGCTGAGCCGGCGACCACGGCGACGGTCGTGGGCGTGGCTGGTGGTGCATAGAAGCGGGGTCGCGACTTCCCACCTTGCTGCCGGTGGCCAGATGGAGGTGGTGCGGCTGTTGGGGATACTGCTGCTGGAGGTGGGGCGATGCCACCACCACCTGTTTGATGGGCATGGGCGGCATGGGCAGGGACACCGCTGGCGAGGGCACCACTGAGCCCGCTGAAACCGGAGACATAACCGGATCCCGGACCAAGGGCAGCTGTTCCCGTTCGGGCTGGTAGACTACTTGTGGTCTGTGGAAATCGTAGGCGGACGGCAGCTCCTCCTGCGGACGATGATGCGGATGCTGCTGCGGATGCGGATGCGAATGCGGATGATGATTGTGTTGCGGTGGTGGGGGCTGTGTGGGTGGAGGCATAAATACGCTTGCGATTGAGCGGGACACGCGGCTTCTCTGCACCGCCGTTATTTGGTGGGCCAGCGAAAAGGTTTACCTCTTGGTCCGAATGCGTCTCACTGGGCGCCAGATCCAAGTCCAGACGCGCCTCCGACTGCTGCGGCCGCCGGCGGCTCGACTGGGTGTAATACTTCTTGGAGCCGGAACTGGAGCCCTTGAATCCGCCATAGCGATCATCGTCATCATCCGGTGGACTGAGATACGGACCCACACTGGTACTAATACCAGGCAGCTTCACTCGCACCTTGTTACTGCTGGAGTACAGCTCGTTGGTTTCCCGATTATTGAACGAGGGATAACGCAGACCCAGTTCATCCTCCTCACTCTCATCTGCATAGTCCAGATCCTCTTCGTTAATAGTGCTATAGCCATTGTGATTAGCATTCGTGTTGCTCAAGGGAGAGTAGTCCTTGGCCTGAATGGAGGAGAGTGGTGGAAACTGCTGGCGATAGCCATCCACCTGGCAGGAACAACAGGTGGGCACCTTGAATATGTCCACATGGAGACCTCGAACCTTGTCCCAACTGAGCAATCGATGGTAGTTGTACACCTGCGAACAGTGGGAGCGGTAAGTCTGCGCCAGGTAGGAACAGCTCTCACCGGGATTACTGCGGATGTAGAGATGTTATCTGTTATTGCAATTTCCTCGAGTGAAAAATCATTTCCACCCACCTGCACTTCTCCAGTCGCAACGTTTGCGTGTGCTGACCGGTGTTCACTATGTATTTCCACTCTCCTGAAGCGGATTTCGCCTTCTGGGGACGGGCATATCGTACCACACTCTGGCACATACCACCTGCACTGCCTTCATCCTCACGCCTGCAATGGAAATCGAGGTAAATTAAAAATATAATTAAGTTAATACCTTTAAACGTCTTCGAGATTTAAGATTAACAAGCAATCCTTTCATTGAGTGTTTCATAATTGGTTTTGTGTGCTTTTTTTACAACAACTATATATTGAATAATATTTATCAAATTATCTTTATAAACCCAGTCCTGTGTCATCAAATTGAAAAAAAAAAATTGGGAGAACAGCTAACATAAAGAAGTTAATTCCCTTAAATTCTGGCTTTTCTTTTCTACACTTTGATTTTAGAATGTGTTTACCTACTTAAAGTGATTAATAAAAAATACAGACTTTCAAAGAAGTAAGCCAAATTTTTAAGTGCTAGTTATATGTATAATAATAATAAAAATAAACAACGATTTCACTTTTATTGTCCTTCAATAAATTCTCCTAACCAGATTAACGTGATTTCAATAGCCTTTGAAGCCACACCTCAAATAACTATAAGCCAACTTTAAAAGACTCACCTCTTTTTGCTCAGGCTGAAGTCATCGAATTCATCGCCAAACTCCAGATTATTGTTGGGCTTGTCGTAGAACTCGGCCAAGAGAGCGGACATGGCATTCTTGTGTCTTCGAATGCTGCCCATTATCTGTTCGCTGGGAGTTTAAAATAATAGATACAGTATCCAACTGCTTTTCTTATGGCAACGCTAACCAAAACCAGTAACTAAGCATAAGTGCAAGGGAACGTTGGGCAAGTGAGTTTAATAAATTACTGTTTATTAGGACTAAAATTCGGACTAAACTAGGACTAAGGACTATGGACCGGAACCAGGACCCTGGGAGAACCGCTCACCAACTAGCTACGGGGATCTTACAGCGGATAGTCTTCGGTGCGGATGCACATGTTGCTGGTGAATCGTTCGCATTTCTTATGAGATGGTGCCACCACGGGCTTGTGGGAACTGGCGGCGGTCTTGGGTCTTCCTCTCCCAGAAGACTGGACCCTCTTTCGCTTAATGGGTGATCCCGATTTCTGGCCAGGCAAAGGTCTCTTTCCCGGACGGTAACGCGGTCCGGCGATGAGTTCCTCGGGACTGGGCAGAGGTTCTTCCGTCTCCTCGGCGCTGTTTCGCTGGAGGTCTAATCTCTCATCGGCACTCAGTGGAATTTCGGTGCCATTAAGACCGGCAAAAGCGAGATCCTCTACCTCCAAATAGGCCTGGTCGTCATTAGAGGAAGCCACCTGCTGCTCCTCCTGACTACTTGACTGCTGAAAGGCCGTGGTATTCAGTTTGATGGTGCGCCCAGCAATTCCTCCCAAAAGCTGCTGTTCGGACACAGAAGCAGGCACGGATCGAGTCAACTTGTGTACAAACTCATTAGCCGATCGTCGAACTCTTTGACCATGGTTTTCTGGTTTCTCAGGCTTTGTCTTTTTGCCGAGTAGATCGCCTGTCAGTGCCTCGTTGATCATCTGCGGATCGAGGACTTCAGCACCCATCTCATCGAAGAAGTCCTCTAGAGATTCGGAAGGGTCCTCCCGAGGAGATACCCCCTTTGGCTCCACATCAACGGCAATGGTGCCCACTTGATCATCTTGCTGGGACTCCTCTGCAGTTAGGTCATCTTCCCGACGATTAATGGGCGTGTGGAGAAGGGCAGCTGATGACAAGTCGGAACCCAGATTAATATAGTTGCGGGTGGAACTCTTTATCAGATTTGCGATATCAAAGACTATGGGCAGAAGCAGCTTTTTGTCATTGCCAAACATCATGCGAACCTGTAGAAATGAGAAAACAAACAAAATTGATATACTACTGCAATAGTGAATATTTCTAATATTTTATTTAAGAATTTTGTTATTTAAAATGACAAAATAAAATATGAATAAGGTTTCAAGAAAGGATTAAAAACTTTTTTGTGTAAACTATTTTATATTAAATTGTGATTTCAGTTGAGTTGTATAATTTATTTAATTTAAATCCATAAATATTTTAAAAATAACAAAGTCTTACTTGTTCAAACTTCAGTTCGTGGCCCTTCTTGGCGTTCATCTGGGCCGAAATCAAAGCGGAGAGGGCCAATCGCTGCTGGGAAGAAAGCACCCTGAGAATGGGCATCACCTCCACGAACTTCTGGCGCAATCCCTCATCAGCCAAGGCTTTGGCCAGAGCGTTCCTCAACACCCTTTCCCGCCAGTCGAAGGGCGGTAGTTGTCTTTCCGGTTCCGGCTCATCCAGATCCACGCTAAAGTCCAGCATATTGGACTCCAACTTCTTGTTGGCCTGCTCCGCCTGCTGTGCCTCCTCCAGATCGTCCAACTGCCAGTCCTCCTGGACAGCATCCTTGGAGTCCGCGAAGTCAAAGTCCATCAGCTCATCGTCGGCGGAACTGCCGCTGACCAGATCCAGATACAACACACAATAGAGCAGGGCCCAGAAGAGGCAGCCGAAGGCGCGGCCAGCTTTCATTTTCGCTCTGGCTTTATTTTCTTGGCTTTGTTTTTTTTTTCGATTCAGCGGCCGTCGTCTGCAAATGACAGGGCAAAGGAAAGTTAATATGCAGGGGGCGGTAACTGGCAGTGGTTATTAAGTTGGCGGTTTAATTTCCCGAATAACAAACGAAACAATGACGGCTGGCTAATTGTTTATTTATGCCTGCACCCGGCGATACTCGCACGCTTTCAAAAAAAAAAAATAACAGTTTGGTTTATTCTTAGATGCGTTCAATTTGCTATGGAAATTCATAACCGTCTATTTTCGGCTTTCCATCGAAAGCAAGAGGCATTAACATGAGCGTAAACTATTACGACTGTGGAGCAGTAGTCATAACCATCGTGGTCTTGGCCCGGCTATTACAGCAGCCGCTTGTCTCCGGCTTTAGGTAATCGCACTCAGCCATCGTCGTCGTCGTCGTCGTCATCATGATCTTGCCAGCCGGAGTCTTCAGTCGACTGTCATCTCAGTTAACTGCCCAACAAGGCGTGAAGCACCAAAGTTGCTCTGGTTGTTGTTATTTTCTCCATTTTTATGGTTACTATTGCCCGAGGTTATGACTCTTGCCACTAAGCTGCCCGTTTTGCGGTAATAAGACACGCCAAAAGATTCGTGTGATTGATTTGACTGGGCCTTAACTTCCTATCATCATAATGAAGACATTTGTTATGCCAAACGGGCTGATCCCCCCCTATGAACTTGGTCGCCTTGCTTTTCACTTCTCATCTATGCAAATGTGTGCTGTGCAAAGGAAAGTCTTTCTTTTCTTCGTTATTTATGTAGTTGGATACCCCAAGGAGCTGACAAATCTGAATGCTAACTACACCCAGGCCAGGAAAACTGCTCCAAGGCAATGGCAATGCCTGCATCCCAGCTGCATCGATGTTTTTTGTTAGCCGGAGATGCTGTGACCTTTTGTGCAGATGAAAAGTGAAAATTTGGCTGCATCGGCAGCGGTGGCGGCAAACAGTTGACAGTTTAGAAAAGGCAGCCAAGGCCAGCATGAAAACTTATGGCAGACGTGGGCCAGCAAGAGATTGGCGATATTCGCGTCTTTTTCAGGCACCCAAAGGCTAGGCAAGCAAATAATTGAATGAAATGATGCGCCTCACTGTTTGCGGCACGAACGTGAGGATGCTGCCGTTGTCATGGCGCAGGCTCGATGTCTTTAATTTATCTCGCACACCTGCACAGCAGATCCCGCTAATGGATCCTAGGCCGGAGGGAGATGGTGGCGCTTCTGGTTTTTGTGTGGCCTTTGCATATACGTATGTACAGACAAACGTCGCTGGGAAAGCGGCGCGCTACGATAAATCAAATTAAGCCAATAAGTCGTAGCCGTTTCCCATATATGCCGACCATTATTTCGGTTCCCAGGCATCCCAGCAATTTGGCGTGGGTGCCATTGCAAGAAAGTAAATACAAATTACAGACAAAAAATGGGACTGGTTGCATTTGCAGATGCTGCAGCTGGCTGCATGCGATCTCACAGCGAATTCTTTGGCCAATTTAATTAACTTGTAATTTGCGTGCGTTGCGCAGACAACGAAACGGGGCCAGTCCAAAAAAAAATGAAACAAAAAAGCTAAACAGTAAAAGAAAACAAATTAAAGCGCTGCAAATGAGAGAAGAAACATCTGGAAGCGAAGCGCAGAGCAAGAAAGTCGCACTGACAATCTCCCGCAGAATCCTACTAAGCAGACTAAGCAGTTTCAGAGGCAACTAGGTGCTAACCGACTAACCTAGTAAGCGAACCCGCTGAACCACTAACCACGGCTGTCGAGCTCTATTAGATCGATCGGGGATCGATATCTTCATCGAAAAGGTTGGCCCCCCTTAACTCGGCGACAGTCATATAAAATGCCATCCAATTTGCCGGGCCCTAAACGAAAGACTTAAGGCACAAACTTGACGATCACCGAAAAGCGGCAACTCATATAAATAAACAGACACACGCACACCTTAAACAGCTCGGACTGACACAATTTCCTCGGGCGTAAAGAATAAAAAGAATTCAAATTTTTGTGCGTCGTTGTTGTTTTTGTTGTGTGTGTGTTTGTGTTTTTTTTTCTTCTTCCATTTAGAAAGTTGTTTCCATTTCACATATTTGGCTAAAATACACATACAAATAAAATGGTATTTTAAAATTCCAATTTCGATTTTGTTTCTTGTTCTCTGCTTTGCGCTCTTTTTTATGATTAATTTATAAAACGAGGCTGAGCTTAAGAAATCACCTCAGATCAGCTCGATTTCAGTCCACTGTTCTTCTCCACGCCACTCCCTTCTGCGCTCTTCTTGGTCTTTTAGTTTTGGTCACTGATTATTTCCTGTTGCGGCGCAAGAACCGAGTTTCCATTCCACTCCACTTTAAACAGATAATTTTCACTTTTTATGGCTCTTCGCTTGACCGTCTCGCTGATTTTCAGTCAGTATGCTGATTTTCACACTTTTCACACGCGCCTTAATTAACAGATTTTCTACTTTGCCACACTTCTTAGCGTTGGTAGCTTGGCATTCACCTTCGTTTTGCCTTTTGAGCCAACTTTTTTCCGGCTGCTACGTCTGAACGCTTTCAACACTCGCCGCAGACTGATTTGCTGCCTCAACTGCTGCTTACTGCTTCTTTAACTGCCGCTGTTGCTGTTGTTGCTGTTGCTGCGGTTTCTGCTGCTGCGGTTTCTGCTGCTACTGCTGCTGCTGCGACTTTGGCTCTGTTGGCGTTCTGGACCCGTTGCAGTAAATCCAACTTTGCTGCGTGTTTGTGCATTAAAAATGCGCATCGGCAAATTGCATTTCTTGTGCAGTTCGCAGGTTCATTGAACCGTTAGTTGGCTCCCATTTGCATATACTAAATGCGAATCTATTAACATTTTAGGCGGAAGCTTGTCCATATTTCAGACTCGCCTGCCCAGTTCGTGTCTTAAGTCATTTGTTTTGGCAGTGGGTCAGGAAGCGAATTGCCAAAAAAACGGAAGCATGCAAAACGGTGTATTTAAACTGCTTTCCATCGGCATCATTAGCCACGAAAAACACTTTGACCGCTTCATTGGGCGGATCGCCCGCCCGTGAGGGTCGGCCCCTAAGGTTGAGGAAAGAAAATTAATTTCACAGCCGCGGCACTTTCGTTTTTCAAGAAACTGCCCTCGGTGGCAACTTTGGGCAGGCTGTTAGCGCCTCCGCCTACTTGCAGCCACCGAACAGTGGAACAAAACTAGATATTAAATTGCTTAAACAAATTAAAACACTAACCAGAAACAAAAAGTTATAAAAAACATAAAAATATATTATAATATGTCAATATGTTATTAAAATTAGCGAAAGACTGACAAAACAATGATTTAAAACATATTACAAGTGTTTAGTTTAAAAATGAAAAGTATTTAACATTCATATAACATTAAGAAATGACTAAAATCATTAATAAATGTTTTGATTCAATATGTATACCCAAATATTTTGGTTAATAAAAAGAATACCTCATAAAAAGTTGCAATTTACGTTTTCTAATAAAACACATCCCGTGGAATAGTTATTGGCTATGTTTAACATAGTTAAAGTTAATGACTTTTTATCGCTTTGCACCCCACTGTGCAATGACTTTGACTTGCGTCTATTAACGACTTTTCGTGCTTTTGACGTTTCGCTTTTTTGCGCTTTATTGTTATTTCTTCATCATTGGTCAAAACCATAAACTATCGCCTCAATTGCTCCAGGGCAGTGGCAAGTGCCTCCTCCCTCCGGCTTCTGTGGCACTTTCAATGACCACTTAAAGAGCATTTTCTTCACACTTTCGTTGGTAACCACAGCGGCAAAACGGGGCACCAGATGAGTTTTCATTTCATTTTCCTTTACACGCAATGCTTTCCAGCCTCCACGCATTTTATCTTAATGTCCATTTGCCGAGATTACCGCATCGCTGGACGTGTGTTTAATTGCAGCGTCATCAATCAAGCAACCATGGCCGAAAGTGTCCTCCACTGACTCAACTTTGTTGCACTTGCTCCACGCTTTTTCTGGCTGCATATTCGTAAATTTTCCGCTACCGGCGGTTAGCCAACTGTGTGACCATAAAAACACCGCGATGCACTTGGCTAATTTGCACATTAAAATTTTATATTTATTTTTTGTGTGTTGTGTTCCGGAGTAATGCCATGTTTATAAGGGGATTACTGACCCTGCATTTTGGAATATTTAATCGAATGCACAAGAACTTTGACATTGAAAATTATCAGGTTTGCCTTTTTAAGTTTTGCATTTCAGGTTAATATTCATAAGACATACCGTTTATGTTATAATTATGCATACTTACGCGTTTTATTTTTATCGGATGAAAACTCTTTGCTCCAAACAATTCCGGTTTTTAATTTAGTCTGCTAAGATGTTGTAGGCTTGGACATCTCTCAACCTTTTGAATTTGTGAAGTACCCGCTACTTATTTGCATAAAATATGGTTCGAAAAAGCATATTGTTTATTTAATGAAGGCTCTTTAAACAAATTTAAAGTTTAACTTGAAATTTATAAATCATTTTTACTTTTAAATTCGAAAATGAAGTATGATTTAATTTCTGAAACTTAAACAACATTTTTTTATTATATTATTACACCATTTAAATCTTCTTAAAAGCTTATTGTAAGCAATACAATTCGAATATGTACTGTAACATGTTTAAATTTAAATTAACCGCCTTGTTAAATGGAACCAGTTCCATTCAAATTTAGAGAGGTACCGGACCCAAAAAAAAAGTTTAAAGCTTAAATGATAGTTAACATGACTTCCTCATTTTACAGAAAAGCTAACCATCTTTTAACACTATGTTAACTGCACAGTGGGCTTAAAGCTGACATGTCAACTTTATCAGATTTATAATATAGGTCGGCACAAAAATACCATAACTAATATAATGCTAATTCTCTACTCATATTATCTTTTAAATTCCATTCAATAAATAAAACCCACTTCAACTGGTGTAATAATCATAATTATATTTCGTGTTTAATTAATTTATTTGTACAATTCTATAGCTAGATATCAATACAATTACATAGATCCTATGCGCTGCACGCCTATATCAACGAATCATTTTTCACAACTGAATGGGGGTTACAAAGTTTCCTTTTGTGCAGTCAAATCTTGGCTACGTCCAGGGGAAATAGCTCAATTCGAAGATGGGATTTCAGATACAGACTAGAAGAACTAAGTGACGAACATTAAACTAGGCATAGGTAGCGCCATTCATTAATCGTAAGGTCTAGATCGTAAATCATAAGCATTTTCGTATTTTGTTGCGTCAACAAATAAATATATACAATGAAAGAAACTCTCTGGGGTTCGAAATGGAAAATTAACAATAAAATACAAATAATACTGCTCGACAAGCACGTCAAAAGGGAGGAGAATTTCGAAAGAGCTACAGACAGGCAAAAAGATGTGTGGGCGGTGGATGAGTTGTGGATGGAGTGGTTGAGATGCACAGTTAGCTGGTGGGCCAGGATTCAGGGAGGGGGGTGGTTCAGTCAGCGTCATATCTCGCACTCGAACTCCGAGATCCGGTGGTTGAAGTAGACCACTCCGTGCTCGAGATCCTCGCTGAACCCGCTCACGTCCATGTAGTCGGAGGCCGCCGAGTCGTCGTCCACCCACTTGTGCAGCGACCTCGTGATCTCCAGCCTCGACTGGGCGAACGAGGGTCGCATGTGAGGCTCCTTGTGCCAGCAGCGGGACATCAGGTTGTAGAACTCGTGCCGGCTCTCCTTGGGCAAATCGGGCCTCAGACCCTGGGGCACCCGGCGGATAACCTCGCGTCCCGTCAGCTGGGAGTACGGCGTGGAGCCTGGAATTTTGTATAAAGCATCAAATTAGTCGGTACACTCTATATTTAACCATTTTGAAAGATTTTATATTAATCCATTTAATTGGTAATATTAGCCCAGCTGTGCAAAGAAACATACGAATTAAATAAATATTGATTTTAATTACCTACGTAAAATAAAAAACAAAGCACAGATGTACAAAATATGTGATATCATACATGTATACAGAATCGTAAATAAATACTTTAATTAACTACACTTTACCCAGAGGTATGCCACTTTGGAATCGGATTAAATTTGGTAAAGTTATGGACTATCGAAGACCAATTTTGGGTCACTCTTTTACAACATAGAAATGGGTCTAACATTTGATCAACGTTAAATTGAAAATTTTTAACGCAGATTTTTAGAGGAGCGAATCACGAGTCTTTAGAGGTATGCCACTTTGGAATCGGATTAAATTTGGTAAAGTTATGGACTCTCGAAGTCCGATTTTGGGTCACTCTATTACAAGACATCGGAAAATTAGAAATAACTAACATGAAAATGGGTCAAAATTTTGATAAAAGTTAAATTGAAAATTTTGAATGCAGATTTTTAGAGGATCGAATCACGAGTCTTTAGAGGTATGCCACTTTGGAATCGGATTAAATTTGGTAAAGTTATGGACTCTCGAAGTCCGATTTTGGGTCACTCTATTACAAGACATCGGAAAATTAGAATTAACTACTATGAAAAAAGAGTCAAATTTTGATAAACGTTAAATTGCAAATTTTGAATGCAGATTTTTAGAGGATCGAATCACGAGTCTTTAGAGGTATGCCACTTTGGAATCGGATTAAATTTGGTAAAGTTATGGACTCTCGAAGTCCGATTTTGGGTCACCCTATTACAAGACATCGGAAAATTAGAAATAACTAACATGAAAAAGGGTCAAAATTTTTATAAACGTCAAATTGCAAATTTTGAATGCAGATTTTTAAAGGATCGAATCAAGAGTCTTTAGAGGTATGCCACTTTGGAATCGGATTAAATTTGGTAAAGTTATGGACTCTCGAAATCCGATTTTGGGTCACTCTATTACAAGACATCGGAAAATTAGAAATAACTAACATGAAAATGGGTCAAAATTTTGATAAACGTCAAATTGCAAATTTTAAATGCAGATTTTTAGAGGATCGAATCACGAGTCTTTAGAGGTATGCCACTTTGGAATCGGATTAAATTTGGTAAAGTTATGGACTCTCGAAATCCGATTTTGGAAAATGGGTCAAAATTTTGATAAACGTTAAATTGAAAATTTTGAATGCAGATTTTTATAGAATCAAATCACGAATCTTTAGAGGTATGCCACTTTAGAATCGGATTAAATTTGGTAAAGTTATGGACTCTCGAAGACCAATTTTGGGTCTCTCTATCACAAGACATCGGAAAATTAGAAATAACTAACATGAAAATGGGTCAAAATTTTGATAAACGTTATATTTAAAATTTTGAATGCAGATTTTTAGAGGATCGAATCACGAGTCTTTAGAGGTATGCCACTTTGGAATCGGATTAAATTTGGTAAAGTTATGGACTCTCGAAATCCGATTTTGGGTCACTCTATTACAAGACATCGGAAAATTAGAAATAACTAACATGAAAATGGGTCAAAATTTTGATAAACGGTAAATTGAAAATTTTGAATGCAGATTTTTAGAGGATCGAATCACGAGTCTTTAGAGGTATGCCACTTTGGAATCGGAATTAATTTGGTAAAGTTACGGACTCTCGAAGACCGATTTTGGGGCACTCTATTACAAGACATCGGAAAATTAGAAATAACTAACATGAAAATGGGTCAAAATTTTGATAAACGGCAAATTGAAAATTTTGAATGCAGATTTTTATAGAATCGAATCACGAATTTTTAGAGGTATGCCACTTTGGAATCGGATTAAATTTGGTAAATTTAGGTAAATTTTGGGTCACCATTTTACAAGTTTTGGGAATCTTAGAAAAAACTAACATGAAATATAGATTTTTAGAGAGTCAAAAGTCTTTATCTATGCCACTTTTTTTTGATACCTAATCTGGCATTTTGTTTGCTCCGATCTTGACAAAAATACCTACCCAGAGTGGCGATTTCCCACAGAACGATGCCAAACGCCCAAATGTCCGTTTCGGTGGTGAACATGTGGTACTGGAGGCTCTCTGGGGCCATCCACCGAATGGGCAGGGCGTGTCGCTTGCCGATGGTGTCGTGACCATGATGCGACTTCTTCTCGCCGTGCGGATGATCCTTGGAGCAGTTACCCTGGCCCTGACCCTGGCCAAAGGTGTGTTGCCAGTGCTGCAGGATGTATCTGCTGCCGAAGTCGAACTTGAACTTGTGCGCATTGTTACGCAGCAAATCGTTGGCCGCATTCTTCTCCTGCTCCTTCCGCATACGCTCCGCATCCAGATCGATGGACATGCCAAAGTCGCAGATCTTGCACATGCCATTGTGATCGAGAAGCACATTCCGAGCTGCCAGATCTCGATGGACAATCTGGGTTAGGCAAAAAAGGAATTACTAAAGCTTTAAGTGTATTATTTTATTTTGATCTCACCCTTCTGCCTGCTATGTACTCCATTCCACAGGCTATATCCAGGGCAAATCCTGCCAAGGTTCGCGGCGACAAAGGAGCCAGACTTCGACCACCTGGCACTGAGGCTGGCAATATGTTAGTGGCACTTCTAGCTGCCCTCAGAAGGGACAGAAGACGTCCCCTCATGGCATACTCCATGATTAGCATGTGGGGTTCTATGAGAAAATTATTATTAAATTATTAAAAGAAGATTAGTAGAATTACAAAAGGGTTCCCTGGAGAATCTCCAGAGATTCTTTTAGTACTGACCACTTTCCACACAGGCTCCTAGTAAGGTGACCACATTCTGATGGGAACCTAATTTCCTCATAATGTTTGCCTCGTCCTTGAGGCTCACCTGGGCACTGCAGGCTCTGATTGTCTTCACGGCCACAATTCTGGTGGCTCCGAAATGACCACTCAGATCGTCTGCCTCCGCCTTCCACACCTGGCCAAAGTTGCCCTCGCCCAGGAGACTCTTCAGCCGGATATTGCTCCGCTCGAACTCCTGGAACTCGCTGGCCAGCGAAGTCTTGTCATCGTTCATTCCATATCTATTGTGGTTGGCATCTCGCTGCGAGGCCTGTGACATTGGCATGGCCTGGTGGTGCTGATGGTGTTGCGAGTGCGTGTGCTGGTGGTGCGGGTGATCCACCTCGTCCTCGTCATCATCCATCTGGTACTTGGAGTCCACCTTCTTCACTGGGCTGATGGGCTGCTGATCCGTGATGCAGACGTCGAAGACCTCACCTTGTTTGGCGCGTCGGCGCACCACATAGTTGCGCACCAGATAGAGGATGATGGCGGCCAGAGGAACCACTCCCACAGCCACCAGAACTAGGGTGACCAGATTCATGCGCCTCATCTCCAGATTCACATCCCTTTCGTTGGCTATCACCGTGGAACTTATGTCCACAGGCGTCACCGAAGAAGACGACTCCACAATGCCGATATAGACCTCACCAGATGGTACAGTCACTGGCGGTGGTGCAGTGGTTGTGGTACTCGTACTGGTGCTAGTGGGTCGCGGATGCACAGTGGATCTTATGGAAGTCAAGACAGTGGTGCGCAGTATCTTTGGACTGGAATCAGTGGTGTGGTACTGCTGACTGTGGGTGCGAGGAGTGACACCACAATCGGAGGTATTGTTGCAGAATATAATCAAGTTATTCGCATCCTCGATGTTTATCTCTTGGGTTAAAGCTGGTCCCAAGGCTCTAATGAGTTCTTTATCCTTTTCGATTATGGAATTGGCTTTTGTTGTGGTGGGAATGACAGTGGGTGTAGTACTGCTCGTTGTGGTGGTGCTGGTGGTGGTGCTGGGAGTGGTGCTGGGAGTGGTACTAGTAGTTGTAGTGGTTGTGGTTGTAGTGCTTGTTGTGGATGGAGGTTTCGTGGTTGTTCTTTTTGTGGTGCTTGGTACTGGTGTAGTTGTGCTTGTACTAGTACTTGTACTTGTTGTTGTGGAGGGTTTCTCCGTTGTTGTTGTTGTGGTTGTGGTGGTTTCTTCGGTTGGAAGAATTTCCACCTGGCCCACTGTGGTTTCCTCCTCTGCACTTAGTACCGTGATGATCAGTGGTGTTGAGGATGAAGGTGATACTTTTTGCACCAGCCTGCGCACCACCGGCTTGGCCACTTCCGAATCGGTTTGTTTTAGTTCCTGGAGTGGATCTGCCAGTCCAGCAGTGGGTCTTCCCGAGCCCACATACCTCGTACGACTCGCTGGTGGGGCAGGTGGTGGTGCTGCTGCTGCTGGTGGTGCAGCTGCAGCTGCAAATCCCCTTTCCCTCATGTGGTACTTGTACTTGCTGCGACTTCTCTCCACAGGGGTCAAAGGTCTTCGCGTGGAGGCAGTGGGTCTGGTGGTGCTAACTGGCGCAGGAGTGGTGCTAGTTGTAGTCAGAGTTGTGGTGGTGGTGCTTTGGGCCACTGAAACCTCTAGAACCCGCGGATGTTCATCATCCCCATCGGCTGGTTTAATGGTCAAACCACCAGGTCGAATGGGTGGCAACTTGGCTCCAAAAAAGACATATGGCTTTAGCTCATCTTCCTCCTCCTCTGCATCCTCCTCCATAGAATTAGTTTTACTGGGAATTCCCTTGCCCATCACTGGTGGCTTGGTGCCATCTCCAATGTGGTTCACGGTGGCATTCTGCTCTTTGGCCACCACAAAAAGTCCGTGAGAGGACTCATCGCTAAAGAGGATCTCGTTGGTGTCCCGATCTCCTGCAGAAGATGCGGTCTTTATAGAAGCAGAGCCCTTCAGAACCACCGAACTATTCCCATTCGAAGCCATGGCCATCCGCGTAAAGTTGGCACATTGTCGCATGCAACTGGCGGTGGTGCGCCGTGTGAAGTTCTTGGTGCAATTCCGGATGCACACCGATCGCGGATCACTGGGTGCCTTGGAAGTACTCTCCACCGCTGCGGATGGGGAAATGGCACTCCTTCCGGTGGTGCCAATCCTGGTGCGGAAGCCACCTCGATGGAGAGCTGTTCTCCGGGCAGCCAGCACATTCATCAGCTTCCTCTCACGATCCTGAGCCGAATTGAGTGGTGCAATCGAGGGTCGGTTGGCACCCGAGGGCCTGTAAGTAGTGGGTTTATCACCAACCGCATCTGTAAACAGAGAATCGGAAAAATATTTACTTAGAATGGTTGGAATATCTTCAAAGTGGTTTTATAAGTACACATAACAAAATAATTGATTATAATTATTTAATACTTTAGATGCTTCAGCTTAATTTATTATAGATAGAATACTAACAATGGCGAAATAATCATGGATCATCAATTTATTTTAATCGGATCATTAAAGCAATTATCTTGGCTATAATAAGATTCTAAGATTGCAATCAATTTATATATCAATGCTTATAATAACACAAAATATAATTCTTCAACTAATTTAAATTTCCGACGTGCAATTAGTTAGTTAGAATGAAGTTAGTTATTTCTGAATTATAAACTTATATTATAATAGTCAATCACTTTAATGTGATTAAAAATATTAAAATAATATATTTAATATTAAATTCTTTCACTGTTGCTTAATTGAGCTATATTTTGATTAAATCAAAATTGCTCAATTTATATTAAAACCAAACTTTAAATTGCCTTTTATTTTATTTAAATAAATACTGGTTTATTTGGAAAGAGCCGTTTTCTGATTGTCAAAGAAATAAATGGTAACCATGAATTCCAATTGTAGTGCATTAAACTTTTTAATCAACATCAATGAATCATATTCGCATGATCACATCGACCCCGTTTTCTTATCAATTTTCATTTCAGTGTAGGCTGCCTGGCTCTGGCATTCTTGACGCCAGATCGTGACAAATATTGGAAAAACAAATCTCGAAATGGAAATTAAATGCGACTAAGGCAGCGAGCACGAAACCCGTTTGGAATGCGAACTTTGCCTAGGGTAAGGCCGACTCGGCCACAATCATCATCGCCATCATCATCTGCGGTATTAACAAACAGCATCTTTTGCCATCGGCGGCAACATGAACATCTTGAGAAACGAGGCTGCTCTTTCGGCCATTAATCAGTTGGCCAAAACGCTCCTTGGCCCAACTGGTTCACCGAAAATGTCCGATATTATACTCGTAGCTGTGCTGCAGTTACTCCGACTCGTTAATTAACCATTGGCTCGGGGCTTCTATGTTCTATGTGCCTCAGGCCCGGCAGCTGGTCATTAAAACAATGATTGAGCAATGGGCCTAAATCCGCGCTGCTTTTTGACCCGCGGAATCAGGCAAAACAATTACAAGCGACTGCTTGCACAATTGTTTAATTTTCGCGTTGCCAAAATGGCCAAAACAATGCCAACAAACAAACAGTGTTGCTTTTCACAAACATTTAGTTCATTGGCTGGCAGTTTAGGCCAAGGTTGGGCCGCCTGCCTGGCATCTCAAGCGCGGCAAGGCGGCTAGAACAAGTTGCAGATGCCGCCGCTTCCACCGCCGGCTGCCGCATTTCGGCCACTTGGGCCCCACCGCCCCCTCCCCCTCCTATTTTTTCGCCTAACAATTTGTCTTTGTTTTGGCCAAGTCGTTTCTCGTTTTCTCGCTCTGCGTTTTCCACTTTTCGTTTGTCGTCTATTCTGCCGCATTGTACAACACTGAGCGCCCCATTTGGGCGTCTCGTCACGTCGGTGCGATGCCTTCAATGAAACGACAAGCAGCCGTCCGCTGCCATTTTGGCCACAGTCACAGACATCGGATCGGCTGCGCCTAGCACTGGATAAATATACTACCAAAAGGTGGCTAAACTATAGGGTAGGATTAAGGAATCTCTAGGGTAATTTTTATAGGTGAAGAACTAAGAAAAATTTGTCTGCCATTTGGAATAATTTGAATAAGGGGAAGTATATCAAATAACCATTTAATACTTCTCTTAATGATTGCCGTACATACACATTTATCTAAAAATATTCTACCCTTATTAAAGATACAATTTTGTGGTGCAAAAGCTATAAAAACTCTTGAAAGGACATATATTTATATAATAATATAAAATGTTTATTCCCATTCAATAAATATTTTTAAAGTATATACTTTAAACAAATCTATTTAATAATTAGCTAAAGATTCCATAAAAAATACAACCAATTTATATTCCTTTTTGAAGTAAGTTTTCTTTTACATTTAAAACATATATTTTTGACACTGATTCTACAATCATATATTTATTTGTCAATTTTAACTATGTATATATTTATTTCAAAAACTTGAATTTTTCATTACTTTTTAGTTTGTCCACCCCAAGGAAAGGGTGTGCATTGGAGGTGTCGACTTCCTCCCGACTCGACTGCTTTATGGTATTGGGAACTCCGGCCTGGCCATTGCTTATTGCTTATTGCTTGCCCTGTGCGACTTCTTGGCATTAGCAATGCTGCTATTGCCGCCGTGGATATCGACGCCGCCGCCACTTGGCATGCGTTGTGGAATTTTAATTTGATTTTGGTCACATACACGATCTTTTCGGCTGCGACGGAGCCAAGTTGAGCGAAGCGGACCAAAACCAATGGCCAACTAGCCCAAGACGGGCATCAGAAACGGTTCTCCCCTTCTGTCAGCAGTCGGCTTTTGGAGCTCCGACAATTGGCAAATTGGTATTGCGACCTGCCAGAAATAAACTGCGAAAAATGGGTTGGGGGGAATTCTAATCTGGCTGTTTACCTAACTGCCTGCGAGCTGCTTACATAATGCCCGAAAATTGTGCAGCATTTGGCAGGTGATTAATCTCCGGCTAGAGGAGAACAAAGCAGCCATCAAACGGATGCGACGGCGTGACTAATGCCAGCATTAGCTTCTACATTTTTGCGAAATTCGCCATCGAACTCTGGCCCCCGAGCACAACAAAAAAGATACAATGGAGAAGACCCCGCCCGGTTTGCCTGGCGATTCTGGTCGAAAACAGCCAAGTTTATTTGGCAGCTAATGAGTCTTCGCTGCCGCACAAGGCCCATCAAGGTTGTTCCCACTCCTTCCCTTTCCCACCCAATAATTGCACAGATGCTATTCGAACCGAAGCCACAGTCAATGTTTTAGTTTTAACACATGAAAAAAAATATTTCACTAATATATTATAAATATTCATAGTTCAAGATCAAGCATAACTTTACTTTTAATAATTAAATGCTAAATCGTTTAGGAAGTTAAAATATTAAACGGGTTATGTTTTTTCTCTGCTTTTTTTCATCAAAACATTAAAACATCAAAAATGAATTACATTATAAATTACCTGTATAAATTACATTATATCCTTAAAATGTAATGTTGAATAAATAATTTAAATAATTAGAAAAGTTTCAACTAACTATTCAAGTTTCACATAACAATTTAGGTATGCAATTATTATGTGAAACTTGAATCGATCCTCAAGGTTCGTTTTCCGCTTTTACGCAAAACAAACCATTTTATTTTCGAAAATACCCAAAATAAATTAATTTCTTGAAGTGTACTATGTAACAATTGAGTTAGAAAAACACAAACTAAGCTATAGATAGGTAGTTGAGTGCGGGATGGATATTAGCGCTTGAATGAATCGCATGTCTTGGCTTTTGTTTAGAACTTTTAATTAAAAATAAATTACCGACACGAGTGGGCAGCGACTTGAGCGACAGCTGACTTTGCAGTTTGTTTTTATTTATTTTCATTTTTTCATTCACTGCTAATTGACAAACGAACAAGTACACAGACACCCCAGAAAACATCGCTCACGCAATGCAGTTGATCGCGCTGACAGCTGTGTTTGATTCGATTGTCTAAACTTATTTAATGGTGTCACATTCAAAGTTATGAAATATCATTCAATGAGCGGAAAACTCATAATCATATAAGTACGAATGAGCGACTGTGGCTATGACACAAATGTCAATCATACGCAACGTTGCACAGGCCGCCAAAGCCAAATTACAGCCTAGCCAAATTGACAGAAAATTTGGAAATTTCCGCCCCAACGCAGCCATGACACATAGACCGCAGACTCAAGAATAAAGACCCAAGTTCGATGATGATGTGTCATGCAATGAATATTGTTCTGGCTTTAAAATAAACAATATAAATATATAAATATGCATTCCTAAAAATAAAAAACATTTATATCAATCTGTTGAGCCATTATTAAATAATGAATATACAGACAACCTTATATAGTCAATATTCTTGCATATTTAGATAAAAATGTTACACATTATTTCTTAAGGTCTTTAGACTCAGCGGAAATCATTTTTGAAGGGAATTAATTAATACGGACTTTAATAATTATTTGAATTACTCAATAAATGGAATTGTGTAATAAAATAAAAGTTATTTGTAGAACGAAGGCTAATTGAATGAAGTAATTAAAAGGTTATTAATAAATATAATGCGATTTCATTACTTTAGACCTGAAAGATATTTTATATATTATTGACGATTTTATTTCCATGAATAAATTATTATTAATAACGAATCTTACGTAATGATCAGATTTATAAAATATTGGCCATACACAATACATTAACAGCTTGTTCCATATTTATTTACGCCAACGTCTTCATCAGAAAGACTTACACTTTCTGACCTTGACTCATCGCTTTCTGAATCATTTTATTCGTTTCCTGGCCAGCGAAAGAAAGCCAAGCAAGCTGAGCAGATGCAAATCCAAATCCAATCGATGTAAGCGCTGAAAACTTTCATTAATTCGCTGGCACTAATTCACGCGTCGCAACTTCACTTTTGCTTTCTGGTTTTTAGCCTGGTATTTGTATTTGCTTAAGTTGGTGCATTCGAAAAACCTACACAAAGGCAACTCATAACCGCTCACACCGATACGACAGGCAGTTCATAAATACAATTTTTTAAATGCCGCCTCGGCAGAAACAAAAACTTTCTCCGCTTTCGTTGCAATTTTCTGGCCGCTCTGTCTCTGTTATTTTCCCAGCTTTTTTTTCGCTTCTCGCTTTCGTTTGCAGCGTGCAATATTCGCTCCACCCTATCCTGTCCCACGTTCATGGCTAAAACGTGTTTGATTATTTCGGCTCTTTTTCGGTTTTTTCGTTTTTTTTTTGACTCACTGAGCTGCAGACATGCAAGACATGTTTTTTTGTTTAGGTGGAATCGCCAATT